ATGCAATCTCAACCCCTAATAGCAGTGCGACACATCACCTTATCACAATCGCCACCTAACACTCCCTTATTTTAGCGCCATATGTACAGAACTCCCTCTCTCTTTACACTCTCTGTATTCTATACAATGTTATTCTCCGGCAACCGATGATATAACCGACCAATAGCAACCTCCGGCAGCCGACTTCACCGACCAGCCCACGACCAACGACAACTGCCATTCTCCGCACCTGATTGATCAAATCAAACTAAATTAGTTACAAAATCAACCTCAATTAAATCATTGATGGAGCGAAGCTCTGTATTTTGCTATTGTCATTGCTGCTTGTCCTCTCCAAGCATCCATGGCTATTGTTTCTATATGAATCTTCGGAAACTGACACCGTCATGATTGAGCGGTCCTAAGTTGTTGGGTTTGAAGAATTGGGCAAAAACGTTTTGTTTGGACAATTGGAGGTGATGATAGGTTGGTGTGGTATGCATGGGTTTATTTTCTTTGATGGGTTGGTGTGATCAAATAAGCTCTTTAGCTGAATTCAAAGCAACCCTTAATGATTCGAGTCCTTGGACCTCATCATCGCCAAGCTCTTCGTCGCCGTCGTTCAATCCTCAAACAGAGGGCTCAATAGCTTCACTCTTTTTGTTTTCGATAAGTTAATAGCTTCACCCTCTGAACCAAATTTCCATACATCTTCTTCAAGGTGTGTCGGCACTCGGGTAGCCCAGAAATGTCCCTGATGCTCTCTCCCAGTTGACTCACCAATGCATCATTTGGATCGTCCATTGTAACAGTATGGATCACCGATTAAAGCTATACGAAATACTCACAAAAATTGAAGATTTTAGAGCAATTGAGAGACCCAAATGAAAGAATTGGTTGAATTTTGATGGTTTTTTGTTGGATGAATGAACTCATCAACTTGGGTATGACAAACCCCTTTAAGAGGCTGAAAATCATAAAATTATAGGATTTTGGGGAGTAATTTCATAAACCCATTTTCTTATCATTGATAATTGGAGTGTACGTTAGTGTGTAAATCTGGGAATGAGGTAGCTACTTATGCTATAGAACTTTATAACTTGGGTATGGCTATCAGGAAGTGAAGTTTTGATTAGGGTTTGAGACATCTTCTTCTTCTTCCATGGTTGTGACTAGATGAGAAGACTTAGGGATTGGGATCCTCTCCCTTTAACTCTACGTGGTAGAAACTAGCAATCAGGGTTGAGAAAGAAAAATTGGAAGCAAGAGGGATGGAATTTACTGGACTTTTGAGAAGAGAGTCAAGATACAGAGACGTTAATTTGAAAGATGCCCAGGTAGAGATGAGATGATTGTTTTGCTGAAATAAACTGATGACGTGACCATTGTGTATTTTTAAAAGGCAATCATGTCTTTTTGAATAAATGGGTTGATCACGTGGCAACGTGCCGTTACTATATAGTCGGAATAGTGAAGGTCGGGGTTTTTGGTGAAAAAAAAAAAAAAAAAGTTTAGGGGGTTAACCATAAAAATAAAAGTTCAAGGGAATTCTTGGAAGGGAGAGTATAGTTTGAGCGGATTTTTTACCCTTTACCTTTATTTTTTTTTTTCTTTTTTTATTCTTTTTCACTGCATTTTTTTATTTCTTTTATCGATTAATTCCACCAAGGCCTCCTCAAATATTCTTTTTTTCCCTTTTATATTTCTTGTAATAATTATAAAATAAATAACTCAACTATTAAATATAAAATAAATATTCCTATCAATTAATTGTCTAAAGTGTAGTATAATATTATTATAAAATAAGTTAGGAGGTTTCTGAACTAAATCAAGAAAAACTCTTTTAAAATTTTTTATAATAAATAAGGGAAAATGCCTCATTTTGATAGTTAATAACACCTCCATCATGTTTTGACCTTTTTATTTATTCATTTTGTTTTTCAACTTGACAAAAAGGGGGGAGGGGGGTGAGTTCAACGTGGGCCATCCAATTTTATTTTATTTAGTTGAGTCGGTTTATTATTAGTATACATAAAATTAAAATATAAAAAAACAAGGGTAAATTACATTGACTTCTACTAATTTAAGTTTATATTACTCTTAACTCCCTAATACTATGAAATATCCTTTATACCCTCATTTGGTTTAATAATATTTTAACTAAGGGTGTGTTTGGATAAATAGGGGAGAAAAGAAAAAAAAATGGTAGTATTAGTTAGGAGAGAAAAGAAAAGAAAAAAAATGGTAGTATTAGTTAGGAGAGAAAAGAAAAGAAAAAAAATGATAATAATAATTTCTATTCGTGTTTGGATAGATAGGGGAAAAAAGAAAAGAAATGATAGTTATTCTTATTTGGATAAGGTAGGAAAGAGGAAAGAAAAGAAACGATAATGACCAAATTACTGTCATACCCTTTCATAACGACTTCATACATTATCCATTTCCAAAATCTTGTTTCTTTTTTATTGTTCAATTCCATAGGTAAAAACAAAATTAAAAAATAAAAATGAAAAAGAAAAAGAAAAAGTATCACAAGGCTAAGATGAACCATTCAACATGGTTGAAGGTAAAAGCAGTTTTTTACATTTTTTATATGCATGTGAAAATTTTATTTTTGTTGTATATGTTATACCTATCCGACTCAATCCCTTCCCATCCTAAAATTTTTAATAACTTTTAGCATGGTCATACATCCTTGCATTCTACTGAGCATATTGAGACATAAATTAAATTACTTTTCTATATGTTGATTTGTAGAGGGCATTTTTGGTATTAATAATTTATAACTTACTCTACTATTATTTCTCTCTCTATCTTCTCAAATTGGGAGTGAAAGCATATAAGGGATAAGATAGGGATCTCTTTTCTCTCAACTTAACCCACCCAAACACACTTTCACACTATCCTCTTTTTTTTTTTCTCTCCCTATCCCTCCAATCAACCCTACCAAACACACCCTATAAAAATCATTTCAAATTAAAATATTACCCTCACCATTTTTAAATTTTCATTTTGTCCTCTCTCCGCCTCGTTCTTCTCTCTTGTTTAATTCTCTTTCCTCTCCATTTAACCCTTGATTAGCTCAGCGGCAAGAGGAAGAAAGCTTCCACCGCCGCTATCACCTTCCACCTCCGGCGCCTTCTTCATCCGGCACCACCTCCACCAACCGTTGCCACCATCTCTCTCTATACATATCAACCTCATCCCACCGCCATCACCGACAACCCTTGCTCTCTTTTCTCCATTCAATTTCTCTTCTATCCCCTCAATTGTGTATTTCAGACACTACAACCCAAACCCTAGACCCGAATTACGACCCAAATTCTAGACCCATGACATTTTAGATCTCAAATCTTCTAAATCTTTATCCCTCTCTCACACCCACCTTCTAGATATTCCAAAATCACCTTCTAAATACTTGAGATAGAGGAAACTTGTACTCTGTCTCTTTTTTAATAAACTCATTAATTATCCCAAAAAAAAAAAAAAACTAGGTTGTTGCAAAAACCCATGCTTCGGCAGATTTGACAGATGGCATGAGTCTAAGCCAAAACTTCCATGGCCGAAATACATGCTTATCGAACACCGCCTGTCCATTTGTGAGAAGTTTTCAGAAAACTTCTAAAGATTTCTATTGATAATGAAAACTGAAATGAAAATGGCATTAGAGTGCTTGATTTGGAACTTTGAACAGTTTTTTATTTTCAGAAAATTATAAAATAAAAAATTATATAAAAAAAATTTTGTTCACTTCATTTTTTTTATTTTTTTTAGCTGGTAGACACTCTTCTCTCTTATGATATTTGAACCTGATCCCTCTTTAAGAGATTGATACTTATATGTCATTAGACCGTTGATTGTTCAGTTTGATTTTTTGAAAACTAATTATAAAAATGATCTCTTTATAAATTTTAAAAAATAATTTTTTATTTTCTTAATTTTTTAGAATTGTTTTAGTTACAAATTAACCAGATCCCATGATTTGATGTGAATTTAGGATCAGAATCATGATTTGATGTGAATTTCGGATCAGAGTCATGTGTAATCAATTATGACTAAATCCAAGTGACGGTTTAGATTTTTTTATTTTTTTATTATTATTATTATTATTATTTGGCTTATTCCGTGAGTAATAAAATCAAACATGAAAAAGTGTCCTAACATTTCTTATTTTTGCCACCCACCAGTAAAATAAGAATTTCCTACTCACAAGAGAGTAAACAAGTATTGCAACAAAAAAATAATGATAAGAAGAAAGAATTTTTGTGTTCAATGGAGAGTAAACAAGTATTATCCAAATATAAATCAGTGACATTATAGTCTAAGCAGTAATCCTAATTTTTGACATTATTTACATAAAATAGCTGTCAGAAACCTGCATTTTCACATTAGTACCAAACTTTTTTTTATCAGTGCACCCAACATAAATCAGTGTCACAACAGAACAGGCTCTAATCATAAGAAAGACATAGCCTGAAAGCATTCATCATCATAACCAAATGCATTCATTTCTAAATTATCAGCGATTAAAAATAAGCATGACCAGAGATTTAAAATGTTCAAGAGCTATGGAATAAATTATCAGCTGAACAAAATCTTTCTCAAAATACTCGGATCATCTCTACAGGTTCGGCTTCAACATTCTATAACTTCATAAAAGCTTAGGCTCTCAGATTTTCCTCAACAATCTTGCAAATTTTGGCATTCCACTTCTCCACTATGTAATTAAACTATATTAATTTAATAAATTTTCTAGTATTTTATCTTCAATAGGTTATACTTCAAATGCGTTTTTTTTCTAAATTATTCCATCTAAAACATCTGCACTTCAACTATGCTTCTTTCATGAACATAAAGATTTTTCTTAGTCATCTAACATTCTCTCCAATTAACTAAAACTACTCTAATACCTATTTTATAAAATAAACCTCTCAGCTTTACATATATAAATCATGCACACAATATTAAAACCAATCATTATTTAATTTCACCAGTAACATCATCTTCAATCTCTACCAGTATGAATAAAGTCAAAAAATTTCAATAACTTAGCAAAATCCATCAACTTAAGACCAAAGCAAATTCTGCAAAGTCAAATTAAATTAAATTAAATTAAAACTATGAAGAAGTGGAGTAAGACGCGACTAAAAAGTCTTCCATATGCCCCACATTCGTTCCAGTTATTTCTATAAATTGAAAAAACCCTACAACCAACAGGTTCTAATTACTTCTATAAATAGGAAAGAAAAAAAATATATATATTCCTACAACCAACAGATCACCTGACAATATCGCTTGCCCCTTGGCTTATTCTTCCTGTCTCGTGAGTATTGGAACAATATTCATATATTGCGGGGAGTTGAGGTTTCAGATGAACTGCTGGACGAGCCCCCTAGTGCCGACCCACTCCCAAGAGAACCATTCCCACCTTCATTTTCAGCCACAACTGGGATTTTCACAGATGCTCTTTCCATCTCCTTCTCGAGCTCTTCCTCTCGACGCATTGCAGTGAACTGACCATCCAAGGACTTGGCCGCCGCTAACCATGCAAGAACAATTACCAGAAGTATCCCTCCAAGGTAAGGAGTTGAGTTTGCTAGTGACCCAAAGGTTAAGATCATAAACTGCTGGATCAAAGCTCCACCAGACTTCCCCAACGGGTTGCACACAACATCAATGGCTGCCTTCCCTTTAACCTAACACAAGATGTTGGGGACTAAGTTCAATTGAAGAAAAAGACGATGGAACCTCGAAAAGGAAAGCAAGTGAAATGTGGATTTTAGATTCCGTGATATCCCAAGAATTTTAATGATTCTTTCTGCATTCAAACTACTTTGGAAAATATTTATTCCTTATCTAAGTAAAGCTTCTTTACTTGGATAATCTAGCATTTCAAAAATAAATAAAAATCAATTTAAGCATGCCTGAAATGACAGAAGGAATATTCATAACCTTACATGGTAAGTAAAGATTCTTTTTTTTCAATTAATTTAAGGTCAGTAAAGAGTCGAACCTTGGTGTCCTCATCCAAAGGAATATAAGCCATTTCTTTGCAAGGATCAAATAAGCTGTATTTGGCACTCTTGCTGAAAATATTTTGCATTGCACCCACATACACAGCTGCTAGAAGTGGTGTCATCCCAAGCTGCCCAATAATAGGTGCAAGTGGGCCGCCAAACAAAATTAGAGAAAAGAAACCAACTCCTGTAAGGAGCAGGACTGTGGGTGTGATCTTGGCTGCAACTCCCCAACCATATTTGTCAAATATCCACTGGCTAAGAAGCATCATTGTAAAAGTTGCAATTCCAGTAGCAGTCGAGAAGTCACCCATGAAAGAAGAGTATTCATTCGGACTTGGAAACTACACAATATAGTGAGAGGGAGAGGAGAGAGAAAGCAAGTTATAATAATAGAAAATTTCAGATGAGAATATGTTATAAAAGCCTTATTTACTTTACCTGAGCTTTGAGCTTTGATTTCCATGTAACCTCAACAAGGTTGATGCTAATACCATATGCCACCACCAAAGTGGCAAGATCTCTGATGTATCTTGAAGACACCAAGAATTTTAAGCTCTCCATTGTCCCCATTTTCGGCTTCTCCTGCCAAAGGAACAGTGCTCTGTTATGAAAACTATTACTCAAAAAAACTTAAACTGCCTAATGACAAGACTGGACTTACTGAATACCTTATATAGGGTAATAATTTTATCTAAAATTTTTTTTTTTTTTTTTTTTCTCGTTGATAAGTCACTATTATATTTTTGTGTCAAGCAGTCAGTGGCAAAACATGATAAAAGCCAGTATTCCATAATAAAGTGGAAGACGGTTCATATTAGAAGTGACAATGCTCTGTTCAATAAATTTTCAATTTTGTCTTCACAGTATCTAATGAAGACGGAGTGTCAAGTGTACCATAGTAAAGAAATACACAGAAGCGATTTCAAATCAATTTTTTGGCCCCAGATGAACATAAAGATGGCATGATAAAGCAAGAGAGAGAGTCTTCTAGTTGAAGATTACCTTCTTCTTCCTACTACGAGTTGGAAGAGGGACAAACCTATTCACCCACCAATAAAGAAAACAGATCATAAGCCCCATCAGCACCACAATGCTCATCATCGCTTTCAGGGAGACGGCCCATCCATCAACTCCAGGACCCAAATGTTTTCTCAAATTAGAGAAATATTTCACTGTCCGACCTGAGAAAATAAGGGCAACATTGGCTCCAAGTCCGAAAAGAGGGTAGAACCTTTTGGCTTCCTCCACAGTGGTTATCTGCAATATCTCATGTAACAATAATTAATTGCAGCACCAACCACTTCATTTTATTGGGAAATTTCAAAAAACATATTTTCAAAACTAGATTATAGAATATTCTATGAACTACTAACATTAGCACGAAAAGAATTGTAGACCAAACAAATATAAAAGAACTCACAATCTTTCCCAGTCTAGTTGCAAAGACATTAGGATGGGGATTGAAGTCAACATTTACTTTAGAAAAAAACGATATAGAATAAAGACTTTAAAGTCTTGAGAAATTGGAAGACTTCCGTGGACTAGAGTGGTAACATCATACCGTTGGCAAGAACCATGGACACGTAATGATAACTATGTCTTATCCTAATCCTAACTTTGTTTTTATATTTTCAAACAACTTGAACATTCCAACATCTAATAATACTAGAAATAAAAGACGGGAAACTGAAGAAAAAGAACCAAAAAGAAAAGCAAACATACAGATAAAAATATCTTCAGTTTGATAAACTAAACTAGTTCGTCCATGACGCTGCATGTTGTTATTAATATGCCAGAACCAGAGGAATCAGAAACTATATAGCCATTATTGCCATTTTGGGTCCCTCATATGCTTATTAGAATTTAGATCCCAAAAATCCCGCCCAGGTCAATAGTTATAATACATTTGAGCTATCGGATTTCTACATGTCCGAACCTGAATCTCTATTGGACAATGTCAGCAGTATAACCATGTGTATCCTGATTGTATAGCTACACAACTCCATTCCAACGTTGACAACATCAGTTCAATATCTTAGTAAAACAGCCATTAAACAAATTAAATGCATCTTTATGCTTAATGCAAGTTTCATCAACATTTTCCGCAAGCATCCAGTATCACTTCTCAATCATTTTCTTGAATTCTCTTTTTCCACTCTTTTCTACTACAAGTTATCTCTCCTATTATGTATTTAATTGGTAAATCTTCACGTGCTACATTTGATTCCCAAGACAACAGAAGGAACCAAAAAATAAAATAAAATAAGAAATTAAAGAAAAAAATAGGAATCTCGTGATAACGCCCCAATTCAAAACAATTTTAATATGAGCCATGCTATTTGTGCCGAGTCACAACATTGCAACCAGGTACAGCATGTTTGTGGGCCCAGAAATCATGGTGGGCCCCACAAGCAGGCTATGCCTAGTGACAATGTTGCAACTCGGCATAAATATACTTTTCCTTTTTCTTTTTTTTGATAAGTATAAATATACTTTTCCCTTAAATATTCAACTATTTCTTTTTCCTCTGCTTTCTTGGCAATAAAGCAGAAAACTTAGTTCTCAAGCTAAACAAAGTTCGAGACTTCGAGTGCACCCCACATGCAGTGCTGACGTTAATTTTTTAAACCAATATGGGAGGTGTACTTATGATATAGTTACATACTGCAACAACTACATATAAGGTATCATCCAACACCCCACGTAGCAATATCAGTACTGACTACTGAGTAATACCCATTTACTTAGATGCATACATGATATGATAGAGAATACAGCCACCTTTCAGTAAGAGATATTACTAATACAAATAGAGTGAACCATACAAAAAGTCAACCAAAACTTTCAAATAATAAATTCTCTCAGTGTACAAATCATCTTAAGGTAATGATGGAACAAATTAATTTTTGTAATCTGGCTACTAGAGGTAAAGACCCTTGCTGCTAACATAAAATTTTACACTGCACAACATGCAAAAATTATAATTAAAATGAAAAGATGATGACAAATAATTTGTAGACATGGACAGGAGTATGACTTTTGCACAGAAACATAAGGAACACCAACTTCATAATACCTCAACCCAAAGACAAAAGGCATATGTGTTATTGTCAATTTTCTATATTAAACAATGCATTTGTTTTTGCCAACGAAGAAAGAAAGTAATAAGTTTTTGAGAATAGGTTGCATAGCAAGAAGAAATAGTTTTTTTGTTCTTTAGCACATTTTTGAGGTACAAAAAGCGGGCTCTTCCGTATTTTAAAGGAAATACCACTGTCCAACCCTAACCACAATTTCCAAATTCAAAATTATGACAGAAATGTAAATCCTGATAATATTATTCCCTGCTTGCTTTCTATGAAAATCAGACACCATGATTATACTTTCCAAAATCGTGAGGTAAGAAGGGAGCAAGGGGACACACAATAGAAGATACAATTAAATACTTTCAGCTCAAATCAATCAGGAAAATAAAACAATATAAAAAGTGCCCCAACTTAACCAACTATTAGTTACACATGGAGAAAATAATTGGAGTGTAGGACACTCAGCAACAGATAACCAGGTATTCTACCATATTGAGTTTATTAGGGTACAAAAAAGTGCCACGTCATAGTGAAGAACCAATAATTAGAAAGAAATTTATTTAATCATTCCTATTAAAGGGAAGGCCCACTTAGATAAAATAAAAAATAAAAACAAAACAAAACAAAAATACAACCAGTATTTTTCCCTCATTTAGAACCTTAGTTAGAAAAATCAGACAAAGCAAATAATGACTTCGAAAATCATTTATAATAACGATGAATTAAATTATCTCCCTAATCAGAAATAAACATCAAGCCAATCAAATTGATTGAACTTTAGAGCCAGGCAGAACATCCTATATCCCATTTTAAGATTTACAAAAGCCCCTAGTCTTTGAGCAGACTCTACACAACATAACATCAAAATTGTTTTGAACAAGAAAACGTGCAAGCACTTTCGCTTTAAAATTTTAGCAAGCAACAGAATTCATGAGCCAAATACATACATCACCTATAACAATCACACTGTAATGTATTAACAAGATCTAGCATCTGCATCAAAAACAAAATTTACATAAGCGAAACAATCCACACAACAATCCCGAGAATCTCAAACCAGAAGTTCAACAAAAATATACATGCACCACACATAATACATAGAGATGCTAAAGTTAGCAAAAGCATGAACCAATCCCCAAACATAATGCCCTTAACACACATTATTTCATTTAGAAAGAAAAAAAATTCACAACCCAACCAAATAGACTAGTCATATAATATTACCATTCAACCAATGACAGATCCAACTTTTACCATCGCAGATACGGATACCATAGGTGCTTGAATATCTTTAAGCAGCAAAACTATCACGAATCCGGAAACCATTAATTCAATTTTAAAGGATCAAGAATCAAACAGAAAAGTTCTTGAAGCAAAATCAGAATCAGAATCTCAGAAAATCAAAACTTCAAAAAACAAAGCAGGCAGCTAAATTAAAAAGAGAAACAGATTATATTCTAGATGACAGAATTTTACCTGATTGGCAAACCCCCAAAACAACACAGAGATGACCACACTTCCCCAAAGCTCAGCCATGACATAGAACAAACAGAAACTCCATATCCTCATTATTGCAAGAGGGCCTAGGAACCTTGGTCCAAGCGTTGCAAGGAGCTTATCAGCAAGAGCTGTTGGGTGAAAATAATTGCTGAGAGGATACAAGAGAAACCCAAATGCCCCAAAAAAGGCTATAAAGGGGACTATAACAGTATAAAAGAGGGCCTGCTTTGACAACACATTAGACAGTTTGGTGTACCACAGCATGAACCCAATAGCCATGGGCAAATTCACCCAAGTTTTCAAGAATGGTATAATCTCAGCACTAGATCCTTTAGCTGTCACAACCAAAACATCTTTGGTGTCCCTAAGGATTGTGTAATTGAAGAGTATGCAAAAGAACATCAACCCAAGAGGTACAATCTTCTTGAGGGTTACAAGCTCAATACCCAAAAACTTGGGTGACTCCTTTTCTCCAAATAGTGGCTGCCCATCAGCTGCTGCGGCAGCCTCAGCCCTGCAAATATGAAAACTTCTCTTCTTTTGGCCAATCTCATGAGGTTTTGTGACAAACCCATGAAATTTTTGAAACCCATTGACAGATAGAGAGAACCCACCAAGATTTTTGGGTTTCAAGGTGATGAATCTGTTCCTGAGTCCACTTTGGGGTCGATTGAAAGCCCTGAGTTGGGGATTTGAAGGAAGAGAAAGAAGCCCTTTTGTTTGTAGAACAGCCTCCATGACTCTCTCTCTCTCTCTCTCTCTCTCTCTCTCTCAAACTAACGCTCTCAAGAAACCCAAAGATAAGATTTTTGAGAGAGCATCAGAGAGAGACAGAGAGGGATAAGGTGGAGAGGAGGCGATTGTTCTCTGAGAGGGGTTATGTTGTAGATACAAATATCTTTTCTATATATATATATCAGTGCAGAACCAAAGCCCTTTTAAGGGCTGGGAAAGATAAGTGACAATAAGATATCGAAATTTTAAAATTGGTATTAGAAGAAATATGAAAGGAAATTCTTTGTTTTTGAAGTTTCAGTAATCACTCTGAAAAAGCTCTCAATTAATGGGTAAGCAAATGGTTGAACTTTCGGTTCATTGTAAAAACAATGATGTTTGGAAATTAAGTTTTTGAGATAAGTACGGAATTAAATACAAATGTAAGGTAAAAGTGTGGTCAGTGGTGTTGTTAAAGAAATAGTCAAGAAAATTAAAGGGTGTGGCGAAAGGATCTTCCCCAAGAGTGAAGGTAGTCACATGATGGATACATGTGTGTGTCTCTTGCACAAAATGCCCTGGTATGGTAAATGGCCAAAATGCACTTGAGATTTTTTTTTCACTTGAGTATTGGAAGTACTCAACCCTCGATTTCTGACGTGTGGTGTTGATCTGGGGACATTTTGTCTTTTGCTAATTTCTTTTTTTTTAAACCTAAGCAAAAATAAAATAAAAAATGGGTCAAGTTAAATGGAATTAGCATGTGTGAGGTTGAAGAGATTGTTTTTATATATGAATTGTGAAATATATGAATTGTGATCTCTTAAAATATCATAAGTAATTAACAAAATTCATTTAACTTTTATATTATTTTAATATAATATTTTTATAATGCGTTCATTTTAATATGATCAAACGATGATATAAGGCGTACATTAAATTTTATGCTCAAAAAAGTGCCAATTAAAAAAATAAATAAATACAGTAATATTCGTAGCATGAACAATTAACTCAAATATTATGTATTGCCTTTAATATTATTTGAATGATATTATGCATTAATGAGCACGAGAGATTTGCATATCTTTCTGACTTTTTTTCTTCTTCTTTCAATTCAATCATCTTTAATTATGTCACATGTGTGACAAACATTTTTAACTTGAAATATAAAATCTTCACAAACTTAGCTTTTAACTCAAATTATCTCATATGAGTTACGCTCAATTATTTGAATTTAAGTTGAAATTCCAACAAAATCAGGTTAGTTGATGTTGATAACAATCCAATGCATATTTATCTTAAAATGTCTAAATAAATTTAACAATAAATTGGTGTGTGAATATATAAATGTAACGATAGAGTATATAAATGTGATATTAATAATAATTATTAAAAAAAGCCCCATTCCTTATATTATTATTATTATTATTATTATTTCCTTTTTTACTTTTAATGTTTTTTCTGTATTATTTTTTTGGTGTTCTGTTTGCGTAAGTGTGTTTTTGTGAGTCCTTGTCAACAAATACAACTTTATTTTGTCCTTCCACAACCACCAATTTGGAGCTTTTGGTGCTTTTGGTCTGTTTCCTTCAACGTTCTTAGCTCAGACCAAACTTTTCAAAGTCAAAACAGGTAACCCGTGGGTTATACAATTCTTCAGGGGTGTTTGGAACCAGAAAATGAAATATTTCGATTCTTTGAGACTATTTAATGATTTATTTACATGAAAAAACATTCTTTTCTTTTCTTTTTTTGGGTTAAGATATGAAAAGGTTCGCCGCCTTCGCTTTTTATATGATACACATGGTAAACACAAATGGTGGTACTCATTTGAAATTTTTCTTAAATATTTATGTCAATCATTAATTATCCTATAAAAAAAAAGTTGTCAAATATGTCATTTTCTTATTTTAAATTAATACATCGGTATTTATGGAAATAAATATAATAGTAATATTTAGATTACTCTGGGTGTTTGTATATATTCATTCAAGCATGCCATCACAAGTGCCCAAGAAACAAAAAAATGAAATTAAAAAGAATGAGTTGGGCATTTCAAATTCAAGAAATTGATCCTACCGCACAAAACTCCTGCTTTTTACTTTTATTATGTAATAAATTTCAAACCTACTATTATTTGAGAGAGAATTATACAATCAAAATTTCATATTAAAATTTATTTAAACTTCATTCAAACTTTATATATATTAGCATAAATGAAACTTCATCTTTAGCTAATTCATTTTAATGAGAGGGTTACTTTTTAACTTATTGTCAAAATATTATTTTATATATAATTAGTTGAATTGCATAAAATAAACCTTTGAATTGGTGGGAGTACACACACACACTTAATGTAGTTCCAAAGTTGCCCAATTATCATAAAACCTGTGCCCTTGGAAGCTTGTTCCAATTTTCCCTTATTTTTTTCCAAATGGGTATTTCAAGCTCCTTGATTAATCATTTAATAAACGGTTCCATGCGTTCCACGCGTGAGGTGAAGTTTGATATTTATATGCCTGGTTGGCTGCTTGCCTACCAAAGGTCCACCCTGAAGCTTATTGGCCATTACTTAAAATCGCTTGTTTAGAGTGTGTGTTGGTAGATAGAGATGTGAAAAAAAAGAATTAAAAAAATAGAGATATAAGTCATACAAAGTGCAAGCTGAGTACAAAAAATTTTGGGTAAGGGCAGGACCCTCGGGGCTTATGAATTTTTTTTGAGGGGCTGGGGAGCTTAAAAAATATATATATATATATTAATGAAAAATATATCTAAAATAAAAAAAATAAAGATAAGAATTTAATTTTTTTCTCGCATCACTTACTTAGCCTTTTTAAGTAATGATATAAATAAATAAAATTTCAATGGGTGCAACTATGTATGTGCCTGGTGCCTTCCCTTGTACACTAATTTATATTGTTAGGATTTGTCCCTCAGCATGTAGATATTCATTTTGTACAGTCTCTTTTAATAGTTTACGTTTTTTAAAGTGCGTTTAACACAAATAAATTTTTTTTCTTTTCTTTTCTCTGTTTTTTTTTCAAAAAGTAACACAAATAAATATCACAAGTCAGACCAACTAAAATGTTGGGTTCTAACATAGGGTAATTCGTGATTATAAAGTCCCATATCGCGTGAATAAAAGATTTGATGACAGTTATATGCGTGAATATTCTTTAATTGTTTTTATGACACTCTCTAATTGTATTGATGACATACAAAAGGCTCTATTATATCTTTATTTATTTTAAATTTACCTCCTTTTTGAAAGTAGGGATTTGATACTACTTAGCCACTGGCCACTAACCATTGGTATTTATTTTAGATTCTTAAATAGATATATTAAAGAGTTAATTTAAGAAATTTTAAAACAATAAGCATCTTAGCTAAATAAAGTAGTAAATCTAACAATTTCTATATATTTTGTACATTTAGATTCATTATTGTCCATAATAAAAATCATAGGTAGGAATGAGAAATTATTATTAATTCAAATTTGACCAAATAGAATCTGTAAATTGAGAAAGGATTTATTGTCAAAGAATTGAGTTGCTTGCAAACCGTGAGAGCAACAAACAAATTGGTGTGTTTGGACCACATTAGTAGATTTGGCATCAACTGAACCCACCTAAAAAGAATATAAAAGTTGTTTTTATTTACTTTTAATGCTATAAATGGAAACATTAGCTGTAAGAAGGAAAATTATGTTTAACTGTAATTTTGAATTTAATAGGAGATTACTTCTATGTTTAGTTTTTTAAGAGTTTAAAACAGTCATCAACCCCTCTTGATTAATAATAAATATATAAATACATATTCTTTTATTAGTTATAATTTTTCTTTTTCTTTTTTGTTCTTTATTTCTATGAAAGGTTTAAATTTTAACAACTTTTTTAACATTACAATTTTCGTATATACTTTTTGTTTTTCTTTTCATAAAAATTATCTTAAATTTGTTCAAAATTTAAATTATTTTTCTTAAAAAAATTTATAATGGGGGTGATTATAATGATAGGACAAGATGGATCTGGAAAAAATAAATTATATTTCCATACAATAAGTTTATAACTACTGAGGCTGCAACATTTGTGTAGTTTTAAATAAGGGTGGCAATGGATAAGATTAGATTGGATATCAATCTTAATCCCTTCTACTTCCAACAAATTGAAATTTTTTGAATTCGCCACTGATTTGTAGGATAACGGATTGGATCGGATCTGCGGGTTGAAATTTTTCCAAAATAATCCAATATTGTTTATTTTTTAATCATAATCAATAGATAAAATTTTAATTTATTAACGTCAATTTATATATTTAAATATTCATTAATTAATACATTTTTAGAGTTCATTAAATGATTATTAACTAAGAGCATCTACAACCGTTGTCTGTGTATATATATATATATATATTTGTATATTTGATGTGTCATAATAAATTTTAAAAAAAATTTAAATTATTTATTTTTAGCTCTAGTGGTTGTTTTATATATTTTGTGTAAAAATATATTCCATAATAACAACCAACCAGTGTCATGCCAGACCTCACATCATTTTTACGAACTATTTAATATATGGTTGATTTGTTAATAGAATGAAAATGATGAAAAAGGAAAAATGAAATATGCTGATGTGACTGTGTAAAAAGATGATGTAAAATACATAAGAGATTGCTGGAGATAAAAAAAATTTTACACATTATACGTAACACTGTATATTTTACATAAAATAGTATTTTAACAGACTGTTGGAGATATTCTAATAAAATTAATTAATACATTATTTGAATATATAAATCAAACTCAAGGATCGAATCGGAACAGATTTTAACAGTTCAATTCGTGATTCGATCCTTGAATTATGAATTCAAATATATATATTTTTAAATCCGCTACTAATTTGTGAGTGTAATAATTAAATTCGACCCGTACTACTTGAATCCAATTAACAAATTTCATTGATTATTTTACCTCCCAAAAACAAAAATATTCATGGATTATTTTTTCACCTCTAATTTTAAACAACATTGAAGATATATAGGTAATTTTATAGATAGCCAACCAAGTTGAGCGGTCCAAAATTTTGGATGTCACCGCAAATGAACGTTGGAAGCTAACTCACGTGACCAAACGCGTACGGGCAAAGTTCTCCAGTCACAAGACCTAGAGAGTCGTAAAGCGCGAAGTCCAACACGTGATCTCTCCATTATTACTGAGGACAAAAACGGCATTCAGTTGTGACACGTCATAGTCTACGATGATCCCATCTTCTTAATTCCAATTTTTTGGAAGTTAGTTAGGAACCACTAATGCTACAGCTCCATCAAAATCACACTAGCCTTAATAAAATTTTCTAATTCATTCCCCCCCTAAAGTTAAATAAAAAAATCATATAATTTTTATGATAAATAAAAATAATATAATAACAGTGGAGAATATTTAAAAAATAAAATAACAAGACCACCAGTGTAAATGTGCTTTTTATTAGAAATGTGAATGTAATGATGTAATATACACAAAAGTAAAACATAGTAAAAGCAATGAGAATATGATGTATATAGATGATATTAGTCAACTAATGTATTAAAAATTGTAATAAAAAGAACAAAGTTCAACAAATATCATTAGTATTGTTATCACGCACATATATGTATAATATCATACATAAGTTAAGGACCGCCTCCTAATTGGGTTTCTTTGTCATACTATATGTTCACGCTCAATTTCCAAAATATATCTTATGTCCTTAAACGTTGGAAGATTTGGCAAAATGTGCATATTTTAACTTGTGAGCTTATAGATTCCCTCTCGTCTCGTCTTGCTCGATATTTCAGCCAATTGATTTGAAGTTAAAAGATTTAGTACTTGTTTCCGTATTAAAGAAGAATCTCTTCCCACATTGGACCCAACCAAAAAAATATATATATATTCTCCACACCGTACACCATTTAACATAATTTAAATTTTTTTACGAGTCATCTTATCATATACATTAATTAATATACCATGTAACTACAAAAAATAGCACCACTAGCCGCAATAAGGATTCTGGTTATCATCTGTGAGTTTGCATAATTTAGGTCATAATGGCTATCTTTTATGCAATTTGCAGTTGATGCACCACTAAAATGAGCCATTATGCTCAATTAGCTCTTATCAGGGCCTCCTTTCATCCAATTTGTGCAAATAAGTTTGTCTCGGCCAATTATTTATCTATGGGCGCACATTGGATTGGCCTAGGCTAACTAAGCCCATCCAATCAGAGGGTCTCACTTGCTAAAAAGGTTTCGCTTTCCTTAATTAACAAAGATGCCCTTCCATTTTCACAAAATTATTTATCTTACCCCACTTTTTCAACATGCACTAAATATTTTAATTTTCCCAATTTTACTGGATCCCTTTGGCTTGTAGCTCAAGGACGACTCTCCACCTATGACCGGATCTAGGCTCTGCGCCAAACGACCGAGGAGTCTCACGACCATTTGTTCTTCACATGCTCCTTCACGAAGCCAATTTGGTCCTTCCTGCCATACAAATGTAGATTTTGAGTGGCCCATCTCAACAGGGACAGATATGTCAATTGGGCATCACAGCACTAGAGCTCTCAGAATTTGCAGAATTCAATCAACAAAATTGTTCTGTCCACCGCTGTTAATCAGATTTGGAATGAACGCAACAGTCGGGCCTTCAAAAATCAAAGAAGCTCTCAATCAAGGGTTTTGAATCGAACAATGGACATTGTGAAACAACAATTGCCTTCCATGTGTATTAAAGACTAGGCGTTAGCTTGGAGAATCATCCTTGACTGGGATCTACCCCAGTCCATCATCAGGCCACCACCGGAGTCGGATTGAATGTCGGAAGCTCTGCCTCTTACTTGGAACCCCCGGATACACATGTTGACTGAGACAACGTTAGTCTAGGGTTTCCTTAGCCTATATTTGTGTTAGGGCAACTGTTTGATTGAGCTTGGCTTTGGGCCTGCCTAAACTGGTATTGAGTGGGCTCGATGTGTAGCCTTGTTTTTGTTTGAACTTCGGCCTTGTACACTTCCATTTCAATACAATACAACTAACTTTCCCAAAAAAAAAAAAAAACATTAAAAAAAAAAAAAAACATTAAAATGTTTTTAGCATCGGGATGTTTCTATTTTATTTTGAAAATATTTCATACACCCAAGAAACCCATGTTTGACACAAATCAGACCCAACCAACCCTGACTACCCCAAATCAAATTAGACACAATCCACCAGAATCTGACCCACATTTAGATCAATCAATCAAGACACACGATTAATTAATTATCATCAATTACACTTTAGCCCCATATCTCTCTACTCTCTCATCAATCCACGCCCTCATGTCCCCCAAAACAGCATTAGCATTCTCATCAGGCTCTCCCTGTATTAACGAGTGGTACATTCCTTCATAAATCTTCAGAGTCTTGTCTGCGCTCGCCGCCTTCTCGTATAACATCTTGGACCCGGTCGGGCACGTCACTCCGTCCCCCGTCCCGTGTGCTGTCAGAAATGGTGCCGTCACCCTCGAGAAATTATCCTGTATGTACTGGCACACCCTAGCCAGCTCCCTCATCGTCCCCACCCTCGGTGGCCCTGTGTATCTCCTCGGATTACTCGCGATAATTTTCAATTTCTCTGGGTCCTTTATCGCCTTCCCCACCATCTTGTTGTCCGGCATCGTTTGCCACGTGTCCGCCATCCCGAAGAGCAGTCCATATAGGAACAACCTAACCTGTAAATTAAATGATGAAAGTCTTTTTCATACACATCATAAGATTTTTTCAGAGGGTCGAATACATAAAGATTGATGGAAGACCCATTAGATTAGTGTTAAGTTAATTGTTGACAGGTAGATGGTTTTAAAAATGACATCATCGCTCTCCTGGACAGTGTTGACTTTAGCTGGAATCTGTTTTTAAATAATTATTATACACATTATATTTTTAGTAGTATAATCAATGAGTATTAGAAATAAGCTCTTATTTCCAAATAAAAAATTAATATATATGGATACATTTTTTAAGACAATCTTAGGTTTTAAGAAAATTTTAAACAGGATATCAGTAGATAAGAGTGTTAAATTTTATAATAGGAGATATCAGTGTTTGTTAGATCTAAGCCAGAGAAATTATTAGTGTTATATTTAAAACAAGAGAGAAAATTAGTATTTTAGAAGGTAAGTGTAATTATCACTAAAATCAGTTTTATGAAATTAAATAAAATATAGACTCCATTTCATAACATGGTAAGCCTAGACTAAAAAATAAATAATAGTGTAATCATCAAAATTTAATAAAGTATTAGTATTTGAACTAGGGCTGCAATTCGGGTGGACCCAACTCGAAATAAAGCCCAGCCCGAAATTTTGCAGACTTGGACAATATTTTTCTATTTTCGGTTTGGACCTGGGTTATATAATTTGAGTCCGAATTCAATTTGGGTTGGGCTTAGGTTGATATGGATGAAGCCCGAAGCCCAACCGAGCTCAAAAATATTATATATATTTATAATTATACTAAAGTCATAAGAGTGTAGTAGCAAGTTGGTAGTTTTTAGGATTCATGTTTAAAGTTTCAGGTTGAAGTATAAATTGATTTATTTTTTACAAATTTTTTTTTTTTTTTCCGAGGTGAGCTCACTGAAGAAATTATGTATGGATTGAACTTGGGCAGCTCGCTGCCCGAGTTGCAGGCCTAATTAAAACACAACACAAATTTTGATTTAGTTGGGTTGACTTTTTCTTTTTGGTGGTACTAGTAACTTAATTTCTCGTAATTTTTTTTTTGAAAAGTTTAAGTAATTATAACCACACTTTATCTCTATCGAGATTTGAGCCGACTTCTCTTTTGAGAAGGAAGGATGACACCGCTGCATCATTTGGTTCTTTGGTAATTTCTGGTAATGTTGGAAGCTTAAACTTTTAATAGCAGTGATGAGAAACTAATCTAAAATAAAACTCTAAATTGGATATTCTAGTTATTGATGTCTTGACATTTTACTCATCTTACCTTAGATGGCTTCATGTTCTCGGGCATTACAAAGAGTGGAGCCGAGTAGATCAACCCAGTCCACGTGTCAGGAGGTGATTGAAAGTACATCAGCATAGTGGCGGCCCCACCCATGGACTCGCCGAAGAGGAAGGCGGGGAGGTGGCGGTAGGATTCGCTGGTGCGCACGCTCAGGAAGAACGATAGGGACGCCGCGGCGACCTTCTCCATGTCGCCGAGGTAGCAGCGGAGGCCGTCGGAGCGGCCGTGGCCGAGGAGGTCGGCGGCGAAGACGGCGTATCCCCAGGTGGAGAAGGTGATGCAGATCTTTTGGAAGAGCCATCCCGTGTCGGATCCGTAGCCGTGGGTCATGTAGACCGAGGCTTTGGCCGGACGATCCAGCGGTAGGAAAGACTGGGTGAAGAGCTTGCCGTGTGGAGTCTCGAAATATGACTTGGTGTTACGGACACCTTGGGAGCTGTAGTATTCTTCTTCCGGCATATGGCCCCAGAAATTTGGTGGCGCTTCCACTTGCGGTGGCGGTGGTTCCGGCGGCATGGTTGGTGGAATGGAAAGGGACGGGGAGAGAAATGGAAGGCTTAAAGGGTTGGTGGATGGGTTGAGGGGTATGGAAGTGGGTTTTGTAGAGAGAGAAAGGGGCGTTCGGTAAGAGAGAAAAAGCGGTATTTACCAACCCCAGTATGGTTTTTGGCGGGTTTAGGGCAGGTAAGGTTGGTGGAGGCTCTCTGATTAGTGGGTCCACCACCTATCTAGTTGTTTTTTCGGTTCAGGTCCACCAATCCATCCTATTTTTTTAATCTGGGGTCAGACTCAGACTCTTATCCTCCTATCCATCAACTGGTTTCGGTGCAACTTTTTTGGAGGTCCGAACCGGTACTCAATGGTGACTTTTGAGTTGGGCTCAACTTATTTAGCAACAGCGATGTTTAGGCCCAATGATGTCCAAGATTATGGGCTCAATGGAAAGACTCAAGGTGTAGATGTTACTGTATTTTATTTTATTTTTCATTTTTAGGATGGGATGGCGTAGTTTGGTAGCTCATCATAACCTTGAGGTCCTATCTCCACAACACCATTCTTTTCCTTTTTTTTTTTTTTTTTTTTTGCAACTATTTTTATTTATTTATTTTTTTCCCTTTGGTAAGTATGTTATAGACAAAAATATAGAACCGTACATAAATAATTAACTACGTTAACTGGTGATTAATTACTAAATTTTCTTTTTGAAGTCAGCCAAAAAGTAAAAATTAATATTGAGATTTATTTGTGTACTATTACTCTCTTTGTTTTAAAAAAAAATTATCCTGCTTTGTGAGTCCCAAAGTAGGATATTTTTTTTGAAACAGAAAAAATATTATTTTTTTATTGAATAAATTATAATATATTAAGACACTATTATAAATTCACTTTTTTTAAAATTGAAGAGTTAATTTAAAATCGGGCATCAGTGTCAGTAATTTAGAAACATTTAATAATTTCTCTATCATCACAGTAACTATTTTTCAAACACTCAACTATTAAATAAACATTCTCGTCCAAAATTCGAACTAGAACATCAAGTAGTATTAGTGTAACAATTTATCCACTATCAGAACCAACTATTATTTCAAATATACTCAACTAATACCAAAAAGGCATCTAACTCAATAATACCCCTTACTTTTAAATTAGTGTAAAAATTTCTACTAAAATTAAATACTCTGAACTAAAAAATCCTTTCACATTCCCCCTATTCATTAATTAGGTTATTAAATGATAAAATTAACTTTATAACAAGAATATAATTATTATTATAAAATTACAAAAATACCCATCACTTCAGTACCTCTCATCACCATCTTTATCGGTTCTCTTTGGTAATCTTTAAGAGCACCATCAAACTCATCTTAAACTTCCTCAGGCAATCTCCAGTAGGCTAGCTAAAGCCCATTTTAGAGAGCCAATGCACTATAGGCTGCGCAGCAGCCTAGCTAAAGCTAATGGGGCTCATTAGTGATTGCAAGCCGGCTCGCGGTAATCAGCGAGACGACCCGCGATCGCTGTAATTTTTTTTTGTTTTTTCCTAATGTAAATCGGTGTTTTGCATTAGGTGTGTTTTGTTTTTTTGTGCAACGGCTATGCACAGTTTCCAAACAGTGCCTTAAGCAGAAGAAAAAAAATAATAATAAAAATAAAAAAAATAAAAATAAAAAAAAAATAAAAAATGAAAATTTGAATTAAAACCTAAAAATAGGTTATTTAGAGCTCTTTTTTTTGGAAAAAAAATAAAATAAAATTCATTAAATAAAAAATATATTGTTTACGCATTGTTTGTCCAAATAAAAAAATTTTAGGCCAACTATATATTAAAAAACCTTTTTTTCTCTTAAAATTTAGTTTTATTAAAAAAAAAAAAAATTTTTGCTTTAAATTTTAAATGTGTAGGCCAAATAGTGTATTTGGCCGTTAAGGCACTGTTTGTGTATAATTTAAAAAAAAAATTTTAAAATTCAAATTTTTTTAACTTTATTAAAAAAAAAAAAATTAATTAAAAAATTAAAAATCTCTATAAATACTCCAACTCCTACCATCACTCATCACATCTAACACATCTTTGTTATCTACCATTCAACTTATTTCATCTTCTATTTTCTCAATATTAGCTATTATTTTCAAAATCATTTCGATTCCATGGATCATCGACATCCATTTTATTACAACACCCAATTCAACCCATCAAACGATGAGTTTTTGCCATTTCCCGAAGACAATATCAATTTTTATGGAGGAGATTCTCAATTTCCTTCTCATCAGCTATCCCAACCTTCTTATCAACCATCCCAAACTTCTCATCATGATTGTGGTGCTAGTGTTCCACAATCAAGTAACTCGAAACCTCCACCAAAATAACCGGCTATTCAACCTACTAATTGGACCAAGGTTGAAAATAAGGCTTTATGTTAAGCGTGGCTGTCCATTACCTCTGATGCAATTACGAGGGCAGATCAAAGTAAGAAGAAGTTAAGGGAGCGAGATAAACAACATATTAGTGTTCCAACTGAGCGAAATGATGGAGGTTTGATGAATCGTTGGTCAGTGATCCAACAAAAATCAGCAAATTTTTCGACTGCATGACTACCATGGAAATGAATCATCCCAGCGACTTCAGCAGTGATGATATGGTGAGTTATTTATTGTTTAAATATAACTCGTAAATATTTTAAATAGTCAGTTTTTAATATTTTGTTAATTTTTTCGTGTAGATGAGAGCAGCTAAAGACCTGTTTCGTAGCCAAACAGGTGGTGAATTTAAGTTAGAAAATTGCTGGGAGATCTTGAAGCATAATAATAAATGGAATTCACATTGTGCCAAACAAGTAGGAAAAAAGAAAAAAGAGCAGAAGAAGAGGAGTGGATTTGACTTTGATATTAATGAGTCTGTTGGGCACTCATTATCATTTACTCCGTCAAGTCCTGCAGCCACGACAGATGGAACTTCAACTGAAGAATCACCAAACATAAGGGAAAATGATTCACCCAGTATGGAAGAATATCAACAACTACAAAGACCAGCAGGAAGAAAAGCGGGGAAACATCGTCGAGCAAAAATTAATTCAGGAAATGAATTACAAAATTCATTCGTTTCGAAATTTAATAATATCACCAGCCGTTTTGAAAGTTGTCAGGAAAAAATGCAAGATGCCCAGGTAACACGAGAGGTAAGAAAATGGAGAAAGAGAAGACAAGGCAGCTAGATATTTTAGAGAAACAGAGACTTAAAGAGAAGGAGCTCATGTTAACAGATCCAAATTCGGCACTAACAGAAGCAGGGAAAACTTAGATTATTGCATGACAAAATGAGATATTGGCCTCTTTGAATTCATGGTTCGCCCCAAAGTTCCCATAGGATTTTGTAATCCTTGGTCTATTTATTTTCTTATTCCAATTTAGGATATTGTATTGTTTAAGTTATTTTTAATTGTTTTGTTTAATTTATGTTTTTTTAATCCATAATGGATAATGTATTGTTTCAAGTTCTAATATTAATCGTAGTTTTTTTAATAATTTGAAAAAATATTATTTGAGTGAAAAATATTGCCATTGAGAAAATATAGTCATTGCAAATATAACAGTTAAAAATATAACTGTTACGAATATAGCCGTTTAGAAAAAGTTAAAAAAAAAAAAAAAAAAAATTTAATTTTAATTTATTATTATTATTATTTTTTTAAAGCGAAAATTCGGATAGCCTGATGGAGTGCATGTTTTTTAAAAGCAAAAACTGCTGATGTGGCTTTTGGAATTGCTAACGTGATTTTAAAAAAATTGATGTGGCGTTTTTTGAGAGCCAAAATTCGGAGAGGCTGGTGCAGCCTCACATCCTCAGCTACAGCACTACACAACATCCCCACACCAATCGCACTATACACCATGTCCCATCATCCTCATCTCATTTGGACTGTCTTATGGCAGAGTAAAACCGGCCACATAGGCTCCGCCGCTTTGTGTACCCAACATCGCCTTCTTCGTTTATCGCAGTCTACCCCATCAACACTCATGATCTCTTCGATCTTCTTAACTTCATTTTCTGACTCAACTTGGCACATGATCAGCAGTGCATCCTCATAATTACTCAAACACCCTACGTGGATGTCTTAATTAGAAGCCCTAATCGTCGTATGGATCAATCCCCGGAGTCCGTTGTGCGAAAATTGGCAAGCGCTCGTATTGGAAAACACCGATGCTTTGTAGCATGTAGGTTAGCTAGCCCTATTGGGATTTATGATGAACAATTTGGCGAATCTCAATGTGGCGATGATGGAAATCCGACCGACAGAGGTGGATGCGGTGGCGATAAACTAAGTGTTCGAGCTCCACCGCTCTTGGTTAGCCCGGATGCAATCAATAAGGTTTAGTCATCAATCAAGGCGGTTAAGTCCAAGATTGTCATCATAGTTGTGAACCAGTTCAACGAGCGTGAGGGTTGTTAGGGATTGTGGGTAAGAGTATCACCGGTGATTGCTGGAAGGGTTCGGTTGACTCATCTATTTTTATAAAGAGAGTGGAGAGGAAGAAAACCCACTTAAAAAGGGGTGTTTTTGTTATTTGAAAATAAAATTCTATACTTTTAATTTAATATTAAATTATAAAGTCAATTTTGGTCTTTTACACCTTAATTAACGATCGTGATGCATTTGGCAATGTGATATAATTTTTAAGTTTAGAGTTAGTGAAGAATCTATTACACCAATTTAAAAGTAGAAGGGAATTATGTGATTTTAACTCATAAATATATATATATATATATATGACAGAGGTGTAATGATTTGTTAGCCTTTTTTAAAACGCTCCTTGATGGGGGGATTAGGGGTGCAAAAAAATCGGGCCAAATCGGACTGGACAGTTTGGTTTGGTTTGGTCACGATTCTAAATTTGTGAAATTGTAAAGATGCGGTTTGGTCATAGTTTGAGTTCCTTTAGGACCAAACTAGATCGAACCGAACCGTTATGTTATATATATATATATATATATATATATATATATAATATAATATAATATAATATAATTCTACAATTCAAATCATTTAGAAGTTTGTAACAACTATCAATCCTATGGTGCACTCTTAATTCTTTTAGGTCTTATCAATTTATTAGATGATTTTTTTTTAGTGGCTGAATTTTGAATTGAAGCTTATTGTTTATTGTTGAATTAGTTATTCTAAATGAATTAGGTTATTAACAATTCTGAATTTATTCATTTCGATTCCAGAAGCGATAGAGAAGAATGAACTAAAAGTTCTGAATACATTAATAGTTCTGAATGTGTTGGTAATTTGATTTATAGTTGTACGTGTAGATTTTGAAATTTGAATACTTCTGTAAGAATAAAAATAAAAAAATAAAGGAAACCGTGGAATCGAACCGAACTAAACCGGTTTTTCACGATTTAGTTTGGTTCGGTTTGGTCAAATAGTTTGATTTGGTTCCAAATTTTATGAATCCGTTAAAATTCGTTTAGTTCCAAAAAACTCTTAAACTCGTCCAAACCGAACCGTCCTTAATGGGGACAGACAAGTAGGGGATTCCATCAAAACCGACAATTGAGCCCATCTGTGAATCCAGGCTCGCTCCAACTAAGATTTAAAAAACCATTCTTTTGTGGGACATGGGTTGATTTAATCAGGCCCAATCCAGGGTCGGTTCAGGGACATGGGTTGATTTAATCAGGCCCAATCCGTGAATCCAGGCTCGGTTCAACTACGATTGAATAGACCATTCTTTTGCGGGACATGGGTCAGGTTCACAACAGCCCATCGACAGCATCAGTTAGTTAGAATAAAACAACAGCCAGGTAAGCAAAAGGCTGATTTTAAAATAATTTATTTTCAAAATTCTAATGAATCGCGATTTGTCTATGCCTAAAGTTTCATCAATCGATGAAAATAAAGGAATCATACGAACCACTTTAAACAGAAAGAAAATCAGGAGGGGAGAGAACGAGAAAGGAAAGAGAATTCCGGCGAAAACCAGAATCACCTCTGTTCAAATAACCGCTTTTGATCCTCTCTCATTATCTCTCAAACATTCAACGTATCTGAAACCCTAAGCCACGGCTTCTTCAACCACCTCGCGATAATACTTCCAATACCTGTTAGACATGGCCGGTAAGCTTTCGACCTATGGAGGCGTGGGCTAGGGTTTCATTTCGTTTCGTTTCGTTTTCGATCTCAGATGAATTGTAATTGAAACATTGATGAAAGCAAGTATCAATATTTGAATTTTCCGGTACCGGAGAAGCTTGAATTATGGCGGGCGGGAAGCGAGGTTTGGTGAAGTTACGGAGATGTGCGCGGACGATATATTTCATGGTGGCAATGGTGGCGTCGCTGCTGCTTCTCTCGGCCCCTGTGTTGGTGGCGATAGGCGATGTATTGGTGCATTGTTTGTTGGTTTCGAGTTTTACATGCGTGACATGTTATGGCTTCAAAGAACATTTGCATAGATACGATTTCAGGAGTTCTTTGACGGATATTCCTCTGGTTTCGATCATCAGATCTATCATAATTACGTGTATGTTCTTTAATGTCTCTGTTACGTTAATTTTTTTGCTATTTTTTTTGTTTTCTTTAGGCGGTCAATTTAGCATTTTGCTTAATTTTGCAGGATTCAACCGATTTATACATTCAATATTTTTTTGATTTTAAGTTATGCTTTGGTATTTTCTTTCCAAACAATATATATAAAGAAAAAAAATTCAAACTTGAAATGGTAATAAATGAAGAACATTTAGGTTTATCTCAAAATTTTGAACAGCTTATTGAAGGAAATAATTTCAAATATGAGTATGAGTTTGTTTGTGTACATATTTCATTTGTTTGACATGGTTACCGAGAAACTCAGAGAAGCAAAAATTAAAATAATATAAAAATATTTTCGGTTATGAGCCGTTTTATTAAGCATAAAAATGAATAAATTACCTTAAGAAGTTGTAAGGGGCTCTTCTCAGGCTTGATGCCACTGATCCCAAATTTTGAAAGTTGTGATTTCTTTTCTTTTCCTTATCTATAACTATTGACCAACTTGTCATTCACTAAAAAATTGTAGAAAAAAGGGGAAACTGATGGACAGTCTTCACTTGGTAATCCTTCAAGTTTTATGAATACATTGTGTGTATGTTGTTTATCTTCTACTTATCCATAGAAAACTCTCAAGCTCCTAACAATTGACAAGAATAAGAAAGGAATAAGTTTGGAGTTATTCTCTATGCACTGTGCTTATGTTTGTTTTTCATGATAACAGCTGTTTATTCAATGTGTGATGGCCCTGCTCTCTCAAATGGGCCGTATCTTGGAACTACAATGCTGTGTTCTTTCATTTCAGTTCTTCTTCTTTCGGTTAAGACTTGTATTTTCACCATCAATTCTCAAATTGAGGCTGAAGCTTCATCTTCTCTCTCAAGGGAGAAGGTCCATTCAAAGAAGTCATGGGGAATGCCTATCTTGTTTCTCTCATCTGTGGTATTTGCCCTTGGCCATACTATTGTTGCTTATAGAACAAGCTGCAGGGTACGGAGGAAACTCCTATTTCATCAAGTTGACCCGGAAGCGGTAAGTTTGCAAAAAGTTTTTCTATTTGTTGCTTCCCTTTTTCTTTTTCAAATTTATTAATCAGATTCTATAACCATTGATTCTCCATGCAAGTGCACATTTATTATCTCAGACAGAGTGATATTTTTGAATTTAGCATATGCATCAAGCAAGAAAAATTATTTTAAAGATGTTGTCAGGGTTCAATAATTTTAGCTGCCATTGACGCCATCAATTGCGTCAGTATGTTCCACTCCTCTTAGCGTTTAAGTTGGTGATTGTGTTTGCATTGAGAAATATATTTTCAACTGATTTTTTTTTTTTTCTTTCTAAATTCTTATAGAGCTTTCAAATAGCAATATCTACCAATATGTCTCATGTTTCCTTTGATTATTTATATCTAAACGACAGGTTCTTTCCTGCAAAACTAAATAATCTAAACGACAGGTTCTTTCCTGCAAAACTGTTCTATCTGGCTACCAGAAAGTTCCACGATCTCCCACTCCCTCTGCAGGCAATACACCAAAAAGTGACAGTGAAATGAAGCGAAAACATACAAGGACATCCCGTGATGAACGGGAAATTCCAGTTACATTCCTTGCTGACATTGATAGCTTATTCATCTCTTGCCAAGGGCTTACCCTGCACTACAAGATTACCATGTCTGGTTTGCCTTCTCGTTCATTATCCTCCACAACCTTTCTTGACAGGCCACCATTGAATTTTCTCTCAAAAACTCAATACCATCTTCACAAAAGCTTTAGCACTCAATTCCACACCTCCCCTCTATATGCTCCACTATTAGATGGTTCTGTGACTTCTCCTGTATCGTGTGACGAAATTCCTGTTTGGAGCCTAGATGATGCATGTGACAACGGTGAGGAAAGTGAATTGAACTCTCCAACTTTAGAGCGGGATTTGGAGGCAAATGGCCATTTTGGCATTGTGTTAGTGCATGGGTTTGGAGGGGGAGTATTTTCATGGAGGCATGTGATGGGTGTTTTGGCACAACAGGTTGGTTGCATGGTTGCCGCTTTTGATCGGCCTGGTTGGGGGTTGACCTCGAGGCTATGCCGTAAAGACTGGGAGGAAAATCGATTGTCTAATCCTTACAAGCTTGAAACTCAGGTAAATTGCTTGCAGTTAAACGAATTCTGATTCTTGTGTATAACTAAAAGAGGTAGATGGAAAGCAAAGTCAAATCTCTAGAAGTGTGTTTCAGGAAAGAAAATGAATAGAAAGAAGAAACACAGATGGCCATACTAAAAACTAATGAGCCAAATGAACTTGCCCCCTTTTATAATTTTAGGTTTTTCTCGATGGTTAAATAAATATCAATGGATAGTTAACCTCCTTTTTTTCCGCATTTGACACGGTTGGGTCTGAACAAATGAAATATTGCGCATTTAAGTTGATTGTTGCTTAAATGGATTTTTATAGCATCCAACATTTGTTTATGTTGGTAATTGTTTGTGATAACTTTTAAGTTTGTTGTGAAAGAATGTGAAATGATTATGAATATTTCCGTTAATCTGCAATTATGAGTTAAAAGAGCTCTCTCATTGCAGTTCATTTTCTTACACCATCATCTAATTCAAAGGTTTGAAGTTTGCTTTCTAGTTGAACTTAGTTAGCTTTTTAGTGAGACCAATCTATTGATGTTAAAGGCCAAAACATCAGATATTGGCATTACAAAATGAATGCAGGTCAAGTGTTGGTGTATTTTTTCCCCCTTTTCCAAAGTAGTATCTTTTTGAGGAAATTATAAGTATGATATATTGGAACTTCTTACGATTGATTAGTGGAGTCACATAAGACTTGTTGACCTCTACAACACAAAAAAAATTTAAGATATATACGTCCAATATATTATTTTTTTATTTTCCTAGTTATGTCCAATATATTAACAGCATGGAGAGAGCAGCAAGTCCTTTCTGCTGCCATCATTTTGTTCTCGCTTGATAACCAACATGTGGCAGGTACTTTTAGTGAACCATATAGGGCATTTGGAAGTTCTCTTTGTTATGCATATTAAATGTTGGCAGTCATTTGTGTGAATATTATCAGCACTGACCAGCGTGAAAAGTTAACATTACCAACATACCATGTTCTTGAGTTATTGAGCTTCAATGACTTATGTGAATTTTTTTTGTACATAATACTTTTTGGTTGGATATTATCGTCGTTTTATGTGTGATACATTCATAGGCCTCTGCTGTTGTAGGCTTGTAACTTGATGTATGTATTATTGTGGACTTAACTGGATGAAGCCCATTATGTAAGCATGAATATACAATATTAGATTGACTTCAGGATTGGTCACTGAAAAAAGAAGTGAAGACACATCTGTATGATAGTGGGGAATCTGTCTGTGTTTTTGCATTTGAAATTTTTTCTCGTATATATATTTCCTTTTTCTTATCATTCTATTATTTTCGTTTTAGCATGGTTGATTTTTATAAATTTGGGAAGTAAAGAGGGGCATAAAGATCAGACAGCGATGTGTTATAGTATCTTTGAAGATGCTCTATTTCTCTGACTTTTTATGGGACATTTTTTACATTTTTTTTGTGTGTGTGTGTGTGTGTGTGTGTGTGTGTGTAACAGTGTAACAATGAAAACCTTTGTAGTTTTCTCTTGTATAATCAGTTACTCATCCCGTGAGCATTTCATTATAATTAACTTTGCAGTCTGGTATAGATGCTCATATGGCTTTCTGAAAACTCTTGTATTGATCATATATGGTTTTACATTTTGGGTCTTAGTTAGAGTTTTGACTTTGTTGGTATTGGTGTTTCCAGGTTCACCTGCTTCTTTCTTTCTGTTCGGAGATGGGGTTTTCTTCAGTTATACTTGTTGGTCATGATGATGGAGGCCTGCTTGCTTTAAAGGCTGCAGAAAAAGTCCGTGCATCAGAGAATTTTGTAAATGTGAGTTAGCCTACTTGGTCTCATTCGCATATTAGACATCTTTGAATATGGAATCATACTATTCAGCACAGCTTTACCAACAAATGAACTTGATATTACTCATACAAGTAGACCTTAGTTTCAACTAAATAACATGTCAGCACTGTGTATGTTACAATAATACAAGTTTTTATGCTCAACTCGACAAGGCCTTTACCCAACAATACAATTGTTCATGCGAATGCTATAAATTGGTGATTTTTGAATTTTTTTGTAAGTGAACTCTTTGCTTGGTTAGATCTTATCATCCTTCATGCTATTCTTAAAGAAAAAGAAAATGCTTTGAATTTTTGTCATAAAAATTAAAAATCATGTCACACAATTTCTTAGAGAACCAGTGACGGTTTTTGAACTTGTTTTGGTTAGGATTATAGTGTAGACTACTAAAGGTTTCAGATATGCAATATCCAAGCTTCAACTAGTGAGCCATCTTGGTGATCAGTGTAAAGAACCTATTGTCTAATGATATAAGCTAGAGCCTTCAAATTAAACTCCAGCTAAACAACTAATTTTTTATGCTTGAGCACAGAGTTTTCAGTAAAAGGTTAAGGGGTATTCCATCAAATGATATGAAACTGATTTTAGAAGTTGATTTCAATCATTACCAGCATGCTACATGGTGATGGCCCTTAATGGGGCACTTAAACAATCTCCTCCTCATCTTGCAATTGCATGAGCCAGAGCCTTTAAGTTAAACTCCAGCTACACTACTATATTCGCATGCCAGAGAGCACAGTTCCAGTAAAGGGCAAGGGGTATTTCATTACACGATACGAAACTAATTTTAGACGTTGAGTTCAATCATTACCCAGTGATGGCCCTAAATGGTGCACTTCAGCAACCTCCTCCTCGTCTTGTAATTGCATGGGCCGACCTTTTTGATTTGCCAAGTACACAATAATCAGTAGATTCATTAAATTGTAGTGTGCATTTTGTTAGTGACGTTGCTACCAAACGATTGCAACTTAACGAATCATTCGGCAGAGCCTTGTTGGAAAACCTCAAAAGTTTTGTACTTGTACTCATATTACCTAACAGTACAAGGGCAAGAGACATGGAAAGCATTGCCATTTCCCAAAGGGAAAAAATAGCTACTGAATGAAAGGACTATAGATAGTTCCATGTTTGAGTTTTGATGACTGAAAATGGTGTTATAGACCATTTTGGCCTCAGAGTGGTATAAAATTTATTATGAAAAATGCATAAATGGGTTTTTGTTTATCTTATTAAGGATTCATACCAAAGTAGCTACTGAATGAAAGGTTTATAGATAGTTACATGTGTGAGTTTTGATGACTGTAAAGAATAGTTTTATAAAGAGAGCATTGTGGCCTCAGAGAAGTATAAATTTTATTATGAAAAATGCATAAATGTTTTTGTTTATCTTATTAAGGATCCATACCAAATCTCCTTTATCCTTAATAAGTGGCTCTTTTTTTTTTTTTTTTTTTTCTCGGCTTACCATGTAAAAACTGATTGGCAGCCTTGTCGGTTACTGGTCTTGAGATATATAGATTATGGCCTTATCAACTGGAGAACTTCTGGCTGATGTATTTTATATTTTTGTGCAAGGGAATATGGGGTTGATATGTATATTGTTTGTCTACAGTATTCAAGTTTTTTTTTTTTTTTTTGTAAAACCTCATGAGATTTCATAATCGAGTTTGTCCAGTATGTCAAATTTAATTATGAGACCATGGTAGGAAGCACTTGTGCTTTCAATAATTTTGCAAAAAATTGAAAGTTCTTGTTCTTAGTTATTGATTTTCCCCATTCACTATTCAGGTTGAGATCAAGGGCGTGATATTGCTTAGCGTAAGCTTGTCTAGGGAAGTGGTTCCTTCCTTTGCTAGAATACTAATGCGAACTTCACTTGGGAAGAAGCACTTAGTTCGTCCTCTACTGCGGACAGAAATCACTCAAGTGGTTAATCGGTGTGCATGGTATGATGCTACCAAGCTAACAACAGAAGTTATAAACCTCTACAAGGTAAGGTCATTCATCGTTAAAACTGCAGCACACTGATTCTTCAGTATTTTTTTGGTTATAGGGGTGTCTGCGCTTCAGATACCCACAATTACCATTTAACCATAGTTTCCAGTAAGCCAGGGCAAAGGTTTTAACCCCTCAGGAATAGAACGCAAGAGCTCTAGGTCGTGCCCCATGGGGGTTATTTTTCAGTGTTGCCCAGAGGCTCTATGCCCTTTCAGCTACCCGTGTGATTATTTTCTTTATTTTATTGTCTCCAATTTGTAAGCACCAACTCCGTCACCATGGGTAAAGTACTTCATTATTGTGCCAAATAAAGATGTTTATATAAACTTTATTTGTTTCTCAATTAAGCTGTGCATGACATAAATCTAGGAAATTAACATATATGATGTACATGCAAATTTTGATAAAGTTTAAATGTGGTTGCATTAGTTGGTTTTCTATGGTGATTACTTTTTGAAAACACAGTTGAGGATACCATAGGGTTTTAAATTGTTTCTAGATGAACCAAACCTTAAATTTGAAATCTTTATGGTTCAAATAAATATAAATACAAGCTCTTTTGTAAGTCATTGTACTTATTTGGATTTTTCTTTGAGATAGCAGAGGAACCCATTTCTGCCAGTGCTAGTGATAAATTGAGTTAATGTTCTAGATCAATGCCATTTGATCATCATCATCGTGTATGCTGGTGTCAATCACATTAATTTTCTTTTTCCTTTCTTTCTATTACAAGCCATGTCTCCTATTATATTTAACTTTTTTAATCATTTCTAATTACTCCATGCCACATGAATTCTGGTCGAGCTCTTTGGCGCTTATCTTCTATGCAAATAAATCTACATTTTCTTACAGGTGCATCATGGGTCTCTGTTATGTATAACCAATCAATGGATAAAAGGGTAATTTGTATCATTACATGATGAGGAGATTCCTTTATACCTTATAATATAGCGTATACTTTCCATTGCATCATCATCTTCAGAATTTTGCATTTTTTTTCTTAATGAGAATAGCCAGTGTCAGTTAAAGTTAATATATTTCTTTTACAATTCATGTGTGCATCATGAGATATAAAAAAAGGGGTTAAATTTTCATTGATAACATTGTCACTGTTATCATAATTTCTAACTATTTTTGGTTTAAATATGATTCGTTGGGTTGGAAGGTTATAATATTTCTTTTTGTATTATTATGGAAGTCAATATATTGACCTATCACTTATTTTACCATCTTGATGGAACCAGGCCTCATTATGCGTGGAAGGTTGGGATGAAGCACTGTACGAGATAGGAAGACTATCATCGGAGACTGTCCTCTCACCATGGAATGAAGCATCATTGTTTAAGGCAATCGATGACTTGCCAGTTTTGGTTATTGCTGGTGCTGAAGATGCCTTTGTTCCTCTAAAATCTGCTCAAGCCATGGCATCAAAATTCGTAAATTCTGTAAGTAGTTCTTTATTTCAGTAAATTATTCTGTGAGTACCTCTCTGCCTTCTAATTTTTTTTTTTTTTTATTATTATTATTTTTCTATCTGATATTGTGATGGTTTTTGCCATGCAGAGATTGGTAGCCATATCTGGATGCGGCCATCTTCCACATGAGGAATGCCCCAAGGCATTACTTGCAGCTATACAACCCTTTATAAGCAGACTCTTATTAAAACAAGAGTCATAAAGCCAATAGTATGCTTCTTTCTAACTTATAGATAGGATATTATCTGTTGTTGGGGGGGGCCTTTCATCTTCTTCTCTATTTTTTTTTTCACCTGAAAGGAAAGAGCCCAATGGTCATCTCTTCTTTAGGTATTTTAGACATGTATATAAGTTCAGGGCCTGAGTCTAACCCTAATTCTGTGGGGTTTTAGAGCACTCTCTATCGTTCTTTTTTCAAGTTTTCATTGTCAAGACCTCATCGATGAGTTAAAGGTTTTTTCTTGTTATTTTCACTTAAAGAAGTGGGAATAACATAATCTGTACATTCTTTTTCTATTTTTATTGGAATGCATGCATTGAAGCATGGTTTGTGTCATTGCCTCTTTTTTATAGCTTGAGATTCTTGGGGTTTGTAAGCTTTTAAACTGATGACTTTGATCATGGTAAACTTTAGATACTAAGGCTCTGTTTGTTTGGACGAAAAATATATTTTTTATTTTTTGGTATTTGGTTGTCGTAAAATATTTACGAAGAAAAAAAAAAATAAAATTTAATAAAAATAACTTATCCATCAATTTTCGGCAAATTATTTTACATGTCTCACCCGATGAACTTGACCTCAGCTTCGACGTAAATCTTTATCAAATACCAATAAAGTAAGAATAAAAGAATATTTCACCTGGAAAAAAAAAAAATTCAAAAAGAATATTTTACGTCGAAACAAACTGAATTTAATTGTAAAATATTTTTTTTAGGGCTAAGTATATAAAATATTCTGAAGGTTTACTTTTTGAGCAAATAACATTCTTCTTTTTTACTTTGAGTATATAACTCCCTTAACAATATTTCAAACTAGGACTTTTCGGCAGTCAACAGTCAGAAAAGTACCGTTAACAAACCATGTGACTTGCACATGACTAACTAATTGTATTAAATATCAAAAATACCCTTCTTTGACTGGACTGGATTTTTTTTATTATTGTTAAGTGAATTGAATTTTGTTTACTATTTATTACTATTTTTTATTTTAATTGTAGGAAAGGCATTTTAGTATTTTTATCGCTCCATTAACTACAGAATGAGGGGAGGTCCTTGTTCGCTCCTAAAATAAACGTTAGAGAGTTTTCAGAACTTACAGGGGATTATATGAGCTATATGCATACTGCAAGAGTGTTAAATGTTCATGACCCTAATTTTTATTAGCAAAACATCTCTTTATATATATATATATATATATATGAACATATATAGTGTATTGGAGTAATATATTATGATGAGCTTTATTTTTCTGGTTAGATTTGGGTTTGTATTAACGGGATTAAAGGGGTGCCCTGCCCACATGGCCCATTAGTGGCCACACACTGCAAAGTAGGTACCATATTGAGATGATTTAAAGGTGGTTTCTGACCTATAGAAGAAAATCCATTTTTTTTATTTTTTTAATTTCTTGTTCTACTATTTATTAATTAAGGTAAAATGCAAAAAAACTTCCCTCCATTTTGAATTTCAATTTTAAGCGGGTGATACAATACTACTTCCAAGAATCCAAATGTAACAAAAATGTAGATGAAATGCAGAGGCGCTAAAAGCATGCACAAAATGTTTAAAAATGGATGAAAGGTTAGGTGAATTCTATGTATACTGCAGCAAGAAAATAAAAAAGAAATAAATAAAAGAAACCAAGAGCATACAATTATAACAATCATACATCTAGTAGTAATACTATTCTTTTTTTGGGCAACTAAGATTTGTATTGATGAAATAGCTATAGAAAGCAAAGGGCTACCCCTAGAACAAATGAGAATGAGAGAGGCTAGACCCAATTTGTGAAATCTCTCAATCTATTATTTATTTATTTATTATTATTATTATTATTATTTTTACTCCAACCCTCACATTTCATGTGAGGGGAGGAGAGGTTGTAGCCTTATAGGCTAATGGCCCGTGTTCTTAATGTTCAAAGTTGGTGCGTTGGAAAGTGCAGAAATAAAGAGATGAAAATGACTTTTTCGTTTTCTTATCTCCCTTTTATATATATATATCTATTTTTATAAATAAACGAGTAATCCTTTCTATTTACTTGTATTTTGAATAAATAATCCATCAAAAGAAGTTCTGTTAAATAATTTGTTATATTACTTTATATTTCGTGTTTGATACTGTGTGTGAACAATACTTTCTTTCTTACTTACAAAAGAATTTCCTCATTAGATTATATTAGGTCTTTAGTACTATCAATTTAACTCACCTTTGAAAAAAAGATATATATAAAAAAATCACTGTCTAATGATATCATAACACATCAACACGTTAAGAAATTGTTGACTATGTACACAAAAGCGGTATCAAATTCTTACTTTTGGAAAGAAAATCAGGAGTTCAAACCCTTGAAAGATATATTCGTGTGAATGCTAACTAGAAGAACAAAAAAAGAGATAAAAAAAATGAATGTCTACATCCTCCTTGTCATCCTGTGGTTAATCCTGAAATAGAGTTGAAGCCTGGAGGTAGTGGTTTAGGCTAATGAAAATTACATAATTCTGGCATTCTTGCAGTTCCACCTATAATTCTTGCTCTATGTTGAAAATAATATACATTATTGAAAAATATAACCATTAATCACTAAAAATTCTTTCTTCAAAGCTAAGAAAACGAATGAATAAAGCCAAAAGAAATGGTACATTCAAAATATAGAAGAAATTGTACTTTAGAATATTTTTTGTTAAACATATATATATAGATATATATGAAAATAAAATGATAAATAAATATATTGGTATACCACATTATTGATGTGTTCACTTAATATAAATACATAATATCATAAAGTTTATTTCACTTGCTTGTGAAAATTACTAATAATGCATCTTCGGGCATTCCAATAACATAGTATGCCTAGTCATTAAATGTCTATTCCCAAACCAACAACTTTCAATTCTCCTTTAACTAAAAAAAAACTTTCAATTCTCATTTTATTTTCATATATATATATATATATATATATATGTTTAACAATAAATATTCTAAAGTACAATTTCTTCTTAATTTTGAATTTACCAGTTCTTTCGGTTTTTCTTTGTGCTTTGAAGGCCTAACCACACATACATACACACACCGTCTAAACAAGGCAAAGATTTAATAAAGATACTTTTCAAAAACTTCGCCATAGAAAAGAAACCTCCATGAAGATTTAAATATCACCATTGATCTTCTTTTGGCTCTTGAATTAGATGCGAGTAATAGTTTTCTATTTTAGTGGGATTTTTTTTTTTTTTTTTTTTTTTTTTTTTCAGTGGTTAATAAAGCATTATTAACTCAAATCGACGTACCAAACCTCCATGAAATTATCTATTTTGAGTGGTTAATAAAGTTTTAACCATATTCCAAACCGACAACATTCATTTATCATGAGATATATATATATATATATATATATGTGTGTGTGTGTGTGTGTCTAATAATAAATATTCTAAATTATAATTTATTGGGTAAATTACTCTGACTTCTCCTGAGATTTACCTTAATTACCCTCGACTTAAAGTTGTGAAATTTTTTTGATCAACCTCCCCTGAAGTTTGGTTGACTTAACTTTATCACCTTTGCTGTTAATTAGTAATTTTAAAATTCTAAAAATGCCCTTATACAAAACAAAATAATAAAATTAGAAATGGAATTTTGAACCATAAAGTTTCAAACAAAAATACCGTGAATATTTTAACATTTAATTAATATAATACATACATATAACCGAAATTAAAATAATTTTACCAAGCAAGCTTTTTAAGTTAAATTTTACTATCACATAATTTTATTTTTAAATGTAAAATTTGCAAAAATTAATTAATAAACTTTTAAAACTAAATTACTATTATTTTCTTGAATAAATTAATATTTTATATACTAATAAAATATATGTAAATAAGTTTATATACTAAATTAATATTTTATATACTAATAAAACTGAATTAATTAGGAAACTATAAGGGGTAAAGTACAAAGACACTCCTGATGTTTGGGGTAAGGACAAGGAAATGAAAATTTGCCTATTTTGGGACAAGGACACCCCATGAGATTTGATAAAGCTACCAAAGGCACCAAATGATAATGAATTGACATTTTTAACTATCTGACTCTTATATTGACCAAATTGACTGTTGAAATGACCTTTTTACCCTCAAATCCATACCCATTTCTTTTCTTCTCTCCTCTTTGTTCTCTTCCTCCTCTTACTTGAAGGTATTTTTGGACAACAAATACCTCCAAGTATGTACGTGGGTAACCAATATGCATTGAACCCATTTGCATAGTAAGGACTACCATTCAACATAAGCTGTACTCCTCTGCTTCCAATGAACCCATCCTCCGCTTCTACTTGGATAAATATCCCCAAGAAAAGAACTAAGAAAACCAAACTCCAAAGCTTCATATCTCTCTCCTCCTTTCTCTCTCTAAATGCAGATTTCTCTCTCTAAATAAACTCAATATGAGAATATATATCTTCTAATATAGGAAGCAAGCTCTATATCTTGCAATAAAGGAGTTTATCAAGTTTGTGATTGTAAATTTAGTTGTCGAAACAAATGTATTAAATAATGAAATCCCCACCCTCCTTTTTTATAGGTTAAGAAATAGTTGCATGCTTTATTCATTAATTAATGTATTCATGTTATTTGCATTCTAATATTTTATTAGATTTTTTTTTTTTTTATCCTTTTTTAAAAAGAGTACTAACCAATTGGGACCTATTTGGTTAAGGTTTTTTTTTTTTTTTTTTTTTTTTTTAAATTGAGTTTTTAAAATATTATCAACCAAACAAATTCTGTATTATTTTTTATTCTTTTAAAATAGAAATTATTTTCAGAAAATTAAACCAAATAAATGGTATACATTTCAAAGAAAATTGTGCTGCTTTTATGCTAATTTATGCTTATTTCAAATATTAAAAATTAAAACAAGACCTTATTTTATTTTTTAAAGGTAAAACAAGACCTTATTGTAGATTGGAAAGGCAACAACATTTATTTGACAAGTGCCTTCAAGTAGTCACCCACGTACGTACTTGAAGGTATTTGTTGTCCAAAAATACCTTCAAGTAAGAGGAGGAAGAGAACAGAGAACAGAGAGGAGAGAATGAAATAAATGGATATGGGTTTGAGGGTAGAAAGGTCATTTTAACAGTTAATTTGGTCAATATAAAAGTCAGAGAGTTAAAAATGTCAATTCATTATCATTGGGGTGTCTTTGGTAGCTCTATCAAATTTCAGGGGGTGTCTTTGTCCCAAAATAGACAAACTTTCCTCTCCTTGTCCTTACCCCAAACCTCAGGGGGCATCTTTGTACTTTACCCTATAATTTTTTTGCTCAAGTGCATTCTTGTACTTTCATTACCAAAGCTAACAATTTTAATTCTGAAAGGGGTATCAGAATAATTTTGCCAAAATTTTTATCTCTAAGTAATATAGCTAAATCTCAGGGAGGTGGGAATAATTTACCCTAATTTCTTCTATATTTTGAATCTACCAACTCGTTTGGTTGGTTTTTCCTCTAATGCTTTGACTGGCAAAACCAAACATTGCATTTTACACACAACCTAAATAAGGAAATGTCAGCAATAGGTTTCTATTTTAGTGAAATTTACTTCTTCCAATGATTAATAAAACTTTAATTCAAATGGACCATATATATATATATATATATATATATATATAAGGAGGGCTCATACCAAATCTTGATGAACTTATTTATTTTAATGGAGTTAGCTTTAATTTACAGTAGTTAATAAAGTTTTAACCAAAACTGACTCATTTATAAAATACTCTACCAAACCAACAACATTCATTTATTATGAAAATATCATATATATATATATATATATATATATATATATATATATATGTATGTATGTATGTATATGTCTGTAAATTTGTATGTATGTTTAAATTTGTTTGGAATTTAATTAGAATTGTGCATTTGTATGTTTGAAATAAACCCAAATTTAAAATACTAAAATATGTGTTAAATTAGATGAATTGCAATTTGTACTTTAGCTTGGTTTCATCCTTTTTTTTTTTTTCTTCGTACCAAACAGAGCATTATGAGAAAGAAATTGTGTTTTTTCCTTTTTTGTTCAATTGAATGGAAGTAATAAAAAAAAAAATGACAACTTACTTATTAGTGTTTGATAGAAAATAAGAGAAAAAAAATGACAACTTACTTATTAGTGTTTGATAGAAAATAAAAGAAGTTAGAGTTTTAAATTATTTTTACCATTATACCCATTATTAACTTTGTTTGTTTGTAAAATTTATCTAATATTTATAAAAGATGATATTGTAGTTTAAAACATTTATAATAATTCAATGAAAATTTAGAAAGAAGTAAAATGACTCATTCATTCTTTTATATTCTATCACCCCTGGCATAAGAATCTTTTTCCCATCTTCCCCTATCCACCATCCCTCCAACCAAACAATCCAAGAAAGCATAAAATAGGACATTAAACTCTTCAGTGTATTCGGTCAAATAGGCGTGTCGTGCATAGAAAGTTAGACGTTGAAGTCATAAATGGGGCAAAAACGATTTTGTAGAACTAAAATAATTTTTATTTATTTTTTATTTTTTTATTTCTTTTGCCAAAAGAACTACTATATTTATTAAATGGTAGGGTGACAGACACGCCCTTGTAAAAATCAAAATAAAACATTAATAAAATAAAATATGGAACTATATTTAAGCAAATAAAATAAAATATGGAACTATATTCAAGCAGAGTGATAGGCACGCGCTTGTAAGAGCAAGTTTCCCCTCGACTGCATGCAATGGAACGGGCACTGACCGTCTCTATCGTATACGGTCGACGTAAGTGCGCAGGTTAGCCGGCTCAGTGTGCATTTGCCACTGCCAAATATACGGAGAAGGATATTGCGCATATATATATATATAAGCATTCTAAAAAGCCCCATTGCCTTGCTTTTTGATTCTCTGCAGTACACAATGAAAACCCTTTGAACCTCTCCCTCTCTCTTCTTTAAAACCCTTACGCCCCTTTCCTAGAAAGAAAACTACTGGTGGGTGTCTCTATTTCAAGTTCTTAGCATCAATACCCATCTTTCTACGCACAATATTTGTGTGTTTTAGGTGGGTACACATTCCCATATGTGTATGGTATGTATGAATGTTTGCACAAATACTTCATGTCTGTACTTGTAGGCTCTATTGGTATGTTCTTGGTCTTAATGTACTAATCTCTGTTTACGATGTTCTCTCCTTTTGGTTTTGGTAGTGGTAGTGTACCCATTTGTGAGTTTTGTGTTTGAATGGTTTATACTCATCTCTATTTACTTGAATCACAATGGGTATCTTTCGTTGTCACCTGGATATGCTGTCTCTGTTCTTTGAACATCACTTTCTTTTCTCTGTTCTCTGCACATCACTTTGTTTTAGTTAGTTTTTTTATTTTATTTTGTTTCTATTCTAATTAGGTGACATGTTTCTTTTTTGGGTAAGGAAATTAGGTGACATGTTTCTTTCTTTTCTTTAGAAATTAGTGAATACTGAGTGGGTTTGTTTGTTTAATTATTTGTTTATTTACTATGTTAAGTTTCAGTGTTCGATTGGGTTATTCTATTTCATAAGTTGTGTAAAATGATTTTTTTCATATAATATTGCTTTTTCATCAATTTCATTCTTCATATTAATTGATTGCAAAGTATGTCTCTCTTAAGGAAGTACAGTATATCATTTTCACCCTAAGTTAAAGTAATATAATTTTTATTTAAATACTCATCATCAAAAGCAAGTTGTTGAAGGACTAGTATTTTATTAGCTTATCAGAAGAAGGTGATTGGTGGTAAGAGGTTGTTGGTGACCTTTGTCCACGGTTTGGTTAGTTGAGATACTTTCAATAATCATGGAACTATGAGACCTGTGCCTAACCAGACTCCCTGAAGTATATTTGAGAAAAAAGTATAATGAAAATTTTAGAAATGCTTCAAGATTTTCTAAGTAAAGATTGTTTCAATCCAAAATGGCATAACGTGAACAATATGATGGTGATGGGCTTAAAAAGTTAAATTGTTATTTCTGTGATAATAGACCTGGGAAGAAATTCTCCCTCAAGATTAAACTAACTGTTAAGATGAATGGTGATTGAATCAAAGTTCACTTTACCGTTTAGATTGTAAAGGAAATTGAGGGTCCGGGACTCCGGATTGAGTTGCTTCCTTTAACAAAATCATGGATTTTGTCATTGCCACATCTTATGGTACTCTCACTGGTGAGTTTTGATGCCATCCTGGTGAGATTTGTGTCCAATATGGGCGAGCGTACATGACTCAGTGAATTCTGTCATATTAAGTATGGAAGGTAGAGAGAATATAGCTTCATTCTTGCTAGTGCCAAAGTACCTCTTAAGTCTTAACCCTAGGACTCTTTATTGTCATGCATGTATTTTAGTGTGTTATTCAACGCAACCTTTTTGTTCTACAAAATAGTACCTCTTAAGTTCACAGTGTGTTTCTTCTCGTATTTGTGAAGTGGACTTATATTCCCCCTCCTCTGTTACATCTAGTTTTGTGGTTTATTTTATGGTTATACCTAATAAGATTTATTTATTTCTTTTCTTCCTTGTATTATTATTAAGTACTGCAGTATATATATTTAGAAGACTAATCAAGTTAATTCTTTTTTTTTTTTTTTTTTTTGTTAAGTAATTTTCTTTTTTGGATCTCTACATCACGTGAATTAGGCTTATTTAGTTTGAATTTCTTTCAATCTTCTTGGACATTTTACTGCTTCGAATGAAATAGTATCTGGTACATTTCTCTATACATGAACCTTAGACATGATAAATTCTACCTTCGGTTAACCTGATATGGAACCTTTATCATTTATACTGGTAGTGGAGTCTACACTTACTTTCCCCTTTTTTCCATGTTGAGCATCTATTACCTTGCAAGGATACTAGCATTTGCATCTAGCACAAATAATGCAGCGTGACAAGATCTCTCACTCATGAGGTCCTGTTATGTCTCACAAATGTTATTCCAAAGTTAGAATTAAGCTCAATCCCTGTTTATCATGTAGAGAGTCATATTGAAGTTTTTGCAAAATTCCAAAGCAGATATTTGAAATTATTACGTGTTTATTTTCGAACTAAAACACAGCCCTTTGTCTACAACTATAAAGATACGAGTCATTTTTTCAATCACCAACAGATACACGATCAGTTCTCTGTACTTCAAGAACACATTTTAGGAATTTGAACTTTCATTCTTACAGAGACACCCTAGAAACTCTTATTAATGCCTTGGAGAGATCATTACTAAAGCCATATTATTACAGTTTGTTTGCACAACTTTGTTGTTTACTATTAAATCAATAAGCAATCTATTTAGGAAGCTTTAGTTGCCCATTTTTTTGTTTTATTTGAAGTTCAGATTGAAATTTATTACTGTTTTTCCTGTGACGTGATTTAGGTTTTCAAGGACTTACCAAACCAAGCCTCAAGTAGTAATCAGATATATAAGTGCTATGTTGCAACGCAGAGAAGTGAAGAAAGAGGAGATCATTGAATTTAGCTGGGGTCAGAAGATCCAAACTTGTGGGCTTGACAAAGACAGTCAATATTTTTCATCATTTACTTATGATGGTGTGGAGTACTTTCTCGATGATGTTGTATTTTTGCGGGGTGATGGTGATAGCAATACTCATATTGGTAAGCTTGTAAAAATATGGGAGACGTCCAGCCAGCAAAAGAAAGTCAAGGTTGTGTGGTTTTTTTATCCCTCTGAAATAAGACACTGGTTACGAGATGTTCAGCCGCTCAAGAATGAGATATTTCTGGCTTCTGGTGAAGGCAAAGGCCTTTCCAACATTAATCCCCTGGTAACTTGAATTGATTACTTTGTTTTTCTTATATTACTAATTTTTTTTTTAAATTACTTCATGTGTTGATTCTTCATTGGTAGACAAAGATGAATCCAGCATGGCACTTGGTTGCTGTTCAATGAAATGGAATATCTTTGGTCAAGAAATCTTGTTACACTGATGTTGATGCTTGTTTGCTTCATTTATTCATAACAAGCAGTCAAGCAATTAATTGTGCTTTTGTTACAACGTAGTACGATACGTCATTTATCTACCATACCAACTTTGAATATTGAACTCACTCATGTTGAGGGCATAAATTTGTCATGTAAAGTTACTCTACACTATTTCTTTCCAAGAAAAATATTTCATCGGATTACTGATCCATGAAAGGACCACCATTGGCTTAAAAAACCTACGTAGCACTAAAGTTTCCACAAGCAAATTATGTTTTTGAGTCAAATATATATAACGAAAAAATGGCACTTCTTTGACAAGTTTTGTTTTCACATCTGTTGGACGCTTCCTATATGTCCTAGCCGTGCTATGTCACTAAGATTATTATTAACACTTGGTCTCTCTGGAATAAAAATAAAATAAAGGTTGACAGATAACCAAGACACACAGATAAAACTTTAGAGAGCTTGCAAAGGCTTGTGACAGGATTGTCAGACTAAAATCCTAGGACTCGTCCTATTCGGAACCAAGAAAATGGAAAAAAATTAAGTAGCATTGAGATGCTAGTTCTTGCCAATATTTTTTTCAATATTTCCAAGGGAAAAGGGATGTTATATAGGCACACATATTTACATAAAATTTTGCTTTTCTTGATACTATAGAAAATTAATTACTCTATTAAATCAAGCTGTTATATGATAGTGCAACTTATGTATTTAATTATCAACATGCTTGGTCACATTTGGATTTTGGCCACTATCCCTATTATGAGTGCATTGATTATGCTTATATATTATATAACCAGAGAGGCATTGGAATCCAAATATGATACCTCCATGTTTTAGTTTCTTTTTAACAATCAACTGCTTTAAACCATTGAAGAGTAGCATGCCTTAATTATTATCTTCAACTTGGAAGTAAAGTAGGCATGTTCAGCATCCTTATCTTAGACCATTCTTTAAGAGGTTAACATTTTCTGGCTGGAACTAGTTTTTAACAATTATGGAAGAGTTAAAGTGTTGATATATGTGTGTGCATATGCGCCCATATGCTATGTCGGCTTCATTGTGTTTGTGTTGATTCTGTGTTTGTTTGTTCCTTTATTCCTAAGTAAATATTTCCAGTGTTCTAATACGACAACGTCAAACACATTTAACTTGTGATTTTTTTTTTAAAGTAATTTGTTGATAAGTAATGTTTTGTTAAAGGAGTTCAAGAGCAGAGCACTCCAAAGGAAATACACAAAAGGCCAAAAAGACCATCTATAATCTCAAGCCATCTCCAAAATCCACCTAAGATTTACAATTTCGCCCAGTAACCCAAAAGAATAAAGAACTCAATATGACCTATTTTAAAGACCAGGGGTTTCCTCCCTATTGGAGGACCTCCTACTTCTCTCTCGCCACAAGACCCACCATAAACAAAAGGCGTGGCACTCCAAGTATCTCGGGCTCGGCTATCCACCATCTATGTTACATGGACACAGGTACGTGTGTCCTGTGCAGGTACGGGTATCCAAGCGTCGGATAGGTCAAATTTGAAAACAAAAGGATGCAGGGTCACTGCTAAACATTCATATTATTTAATATTTTGTTCTTTTTTAGACCAAAATAAGTCTTTATATAGCATAGTGTCCAATATAGGCGTTTCACTCATTTGAAACAATAATATAATTAAATTAAATTATATGATATACTTTATAGGTGCGTGTCTAACCAAAAGTGTCGGACACATATCCCACCATGTCCATGTACTGTGTATATCTGACATAGGTACTTCACCTACTTCTGAGGAGTCCATGTAACATAACCCACCATACACCCTCTCCAGCATCAAGATCCTTCCAAGCACTGCTGTCCACGTGAAAAAAGCCACCTTTAAAGGGCTTAAGGATTTCGATCTCCCAATGGACTTCCAAGGGAAGGGAGGCTCTGGAACCTCCAGAAGGCTCTGATAGAATGTGTGCACCTCAAAAACCCCTTTGAATAGGCCATCCAAATAATTTAATCTAAACCCATCCCTTCCAGATTGTAAAACAAGGTCAGGAAATCCGCGACCTCCTCCACTTTCCAATCATAAAAATCTCTCCCAAATTGCACGGCCCAAGTCATCCTCTCGCTATCAAGTTGATAACAGTCTACGACTAAGGCATTGAGCTATATCTGCATCAATGTTTCTCCCAAAACCGAACATACCTCACACTCCTTACCCTGAAACGAACATGCCTGGAGAACTTATTCCATCCCTTTCGGATGAGCTTTTAAACCCCCACCTCAACTGGAGACCTCACCTCATTAGAGGTCCACCCTTCACTATCCTTTCCAACCTTGCACGAAATGATTGTCTTCCACAATTCGGATCTGTCCCTCACTGGATAGGATTACACACCTTTCCCCCATTCACCAAGTGAAAACTTGAATTCATCTCCCATACCACTCCATAGGAAATTGCTCTGTATCTTCTCTAGTTTCTTGGCAACGGTAATAGGCATTTGTAACAGAGACAGAAGTAGGTTGGAAGGCTCGAAAGTGACTCTTCAAGAGAGTGGTCTGGTTCCCTTTCGAAAGATACTGCTTTTTTCAACTGGAAAGTCTCCTCTCGAACTGCTCCATAACTGGGTCACAAATGGAAACCATGCTCGAGGAATCCCCAAGCGGCAAACCCAAGTAAGAGAGCAGGAAGGACCTACTGCACACCAAAGAATATCGGCGAGAGAATCAATCTCTCAACCTCCCCTATCTACACAATCTCAATCTTCCCTATATTGAACTTCAAACCTGAGATGGCTTGGAAACAAACCAACACGTATCTCAATAGTCTCAACTGATCCTCCACTGCATCATAAAAAACAATGGTATCGTCCGCGAGGTGGGTTATCTCCAATGATCCACGCCCTCCTCATCAACCTACTCTAGGCCTCCATGACAATAATAAAAAATAAAGATAAAAGAAGGAGAAAATGAACTCTCTGCCTTTGGACTTGCAAACTAGAGAAGAACCAGGCCAGAGAACCATTCACCAAAATCGAATATCTAACCATAGAGATGCAGTAAAGAATCCATCTTCTCCATTTTTTGCCCGACCCCATCCAACCCAAAACGTACACCAAAAAATCCCAACTCACATGATTGGAAATGATATTTGTCAAAATCGAGGGGAGCCGCGTGAGCTTTTTGCTAACTAGAGGGGAAGCGAGTCTAATTTACCCTTTATATTTTAGGAAGTATCTTGAGAATGAAATTTTTGTGGATTCAAGAAATAACTTCTACAGTTTGAAAAATAACTATGCTGGTTAAAATGATTGACATGGCTTTTTTATGTTGTATCTTTTTAGGAAGCGATTTATGGAAAATGCAATGTTATCTGCACATCAAAGGACAAGAGAAATCCTCAAGCATCCGAAGAAGAATTGAGATTGGCCAGATATATCTTTTATCGTACTTTTGATGTTGGAAGCTGCAGAATCTCAGAAACCTTTCCAGATAGAGTAGCTCGAATTAAAGGTCACCTATTCAGTTTCATCTTTTATTCTTTTTGAATAATTTTTCTGCTTCTCTTTTGCTGGCAGTTGAGAAATCTGAACCCAATTATCATAATAATTTCAAATATTACATTCTTCACATCATTGTAACCAATTGGAGCAGTCCTCTAATGTTCAAAATTCTCCTCTTTAATAGTGCACTTGATGTTTAGACTCAAGACCCAAATGAACTGAACTTCTCGTCAATTGATTGCATTTCCTAAAGGCATAGGAGCATCGGGTATTGATATTCTAATGCATTAAGTGAATACACACACACACACACATTGTGAATGTTGATCAAAACTTTAGCATGACTTTGTACCGAAAATGTTGGAAATGTCAAACAAGAACAGTGAGAATTGAGCGAGGCAGAAGTGGTTTGATATTGTGTCACTTAGAAAGGACCTAGAGGGTGGATAGAGCTAATTTGCCCAGTTTGCTTGTTTTTCATTTAATCCGATTTTAACAATATTAAGCAACAAGCACACAAGACAAAAAAAAAAAACCACATTCACAATGTGTGTGGAAATATCAAACTTTAGCTTGTTCTTCTTCTTCTTCTTTCTTTTTTTTTTTTTTTTTTTTTTTTTTTTTGTGAAAATCCGTGGTGGAAAAAACCATGAAGACTATGCTGTCTTAGGCAAACAATCCACTATGTTGAGAAAGAGTATAACAACTTTTATTGTCTTCAAAATTGCTCTCCATGAGTTGCTGATTCCAGTGCATATGAATATCCTGCTGTTGGTTTACCTCTTATGCTCAATGTCCTCCAGTTATAGTGCCTATGGAACTACAATTAACACTAATCTACGCCAACGCAATGACCTCACAAATTAACCGCTCTTCACAGTAATTAGACTCCTATTTCCTTCCATTAGCACATGCAAAGATTATAACTAAATTTGGTGCTCTGATCGCCTTGATGACTTCATAATTAGTGCTCCTAATGTATGATAAGTAGAGAATACACAGAACTACTATTCATGTGTAAAAGTGTGGTCATGTGTAAAAGTGTGGTTATAAGATCAAAAGAAACAAAGAAACTCGCAGTAATATTTCTGCAGATTTCTCTCTTTTAAAACTCTCAATATTTTCTCAGCAAAAATCTTAGTTTAGTTCACTTTACACCCAATAATTTATAAAGGTTTTTAAGTAGATAAGACGTAGTTTGAACTTTCATTCAGACTGGTATAAGTAATTAACTCTTAATTGATTTTTGTTTAAAATATTAGTGTCAGATAATACAAAATTTCATTGAGAACAATTGGATTTTATGAAGCAACGCATGTCACATTATCTTTTGAGTTATTGATTTCCAAAAATAAATAATATATATATATTGTTAGAAAATAATGATTGACAGACTGTTTAGATGTCATGTCGAGAAGTTAGGGCAAGTCTGTCCTTAATTGATAATGTGTTTTTCTTTGATAAGTTGAGTTACAGTCATTCTATAGGAACTTGCCTGTAAGTTTTAAAGAACCCAACAACCTGTCCAAACCATTTTCTGGCAATATATGTATATATATATATATATATATATATATATATATTAATTAGTACAAACCATCACTGGAGCAATCTGGCCACATTTCTGGTAATTTACGCTGAAATTTTGGTGTGTTAAATATTTGCAACAACTCCCTTGATAATCTCCATACTTCCTTGAAAGTTCAATTATGCAGCAATTTCAGTATTTTTCACGTTGAAGGACTTAAAAGTATATATAAGTTTGAAAAAGACTATTCTTTTCCAGAGAGAGATATTGAATTCCTGTGAAGATAAACTAGCAATATGTGACAAATAGTCAGTAGCAATCATCAACTAGCAATGGGTGACATCATCTCCGAAGCACACTGTTTTATGAGCACTGTTCTATTGATTTATTTATATATATATATATTATTTCCTTATAATAAATGTCATACGGTACAAACGAAAGGAATGGTCCTGAGGAAAAATTTGAGGTGCATATCTTTTATAATGCTCGAGAAGCTGATAGTAATAAGTGTTCCATAATTTTTTTTTTAAAATGCGATGGAGAATATAGTTTTCGTGTGCGGGGGTGCATACCTATGTTTTCTTACTTCAGGATGAATATATACACATATAAATATTTCCTTCCTTTCTGAAGTTATTCTTTTAACTGCTATATTTCTCATAATGGCAGTGGGAGTCACTAGGCAATGACCTTTATTTTTCTCATACTCAGCTGACCAATTGATATATTGGTTGTGCTTTTCAAAAATATTTGCTTTGCAGTGGAGCGTTTCTTCAATTCAGAGAAAAGTCGAAAGCTTGTCACTCGTCCTGGACTCAAAACAAAATTGAAGGAGAAGCCTGAAACTTCAGTTCCAAAGATTGAATTAGTCACAGGTACATAGCAAGTATAGCATTAGCATGAATTCAGTCGCAAAAGGTTGTCTAGTAGGAAGGTGTTTTAGCAGTTCTTTACTTAAAGTTCAACTACTAAGTGAAATTAGCATGTTGCTGGAATCCACAGAATCAAAGATCTTAGCTACTACTTCCGGTAAACAAACATGTTTTTCTGGTGAGAATACCAAACGGAAGCCTAAACCCTCAATAAATAAAGATGGGAGAGGGGAAGTTTCTTTCAGTCAAGAAAAAGATAGAGGTAAAGTGAAATTTTCCGAGGATCTCTCAAACAGAAGTGTATCAGATATTCGGCCACTGAAGAAAAGGAAGCTTGAATGGTTTTCAGGTCAATCTTTGTCAGAACTTTTACCCATTCTGGTACCCCCCCCCCCCCCCCCCCCCCCAAAAAAAAAAAAATTATTACCAAAATTGTGTGTGGGCATTAACAGTTGTTTAAAAAAAAAAGGAAAAAAAAACCTGCAAAGTTATCTGACCCTCTCCAAGATCACTTAATTATTGAGCAAAATTTCTAGATTCCAAGGCTGCTGTTAGTGAGAACAGAGAACTATCCAAGGGAAATTATCCGGAGAAGGCAAGTTACTTTTCTGATGAAGCAGCTGCTCAACTTAAACTGGAAAAGGGTGTCAAAACTAAGACCCAAATTGGGGAGGTTACAAGAAGGCCTGATATGGTAAGGTCTTTGAATATTATTGGTGGGAATTTTGTTTCAACTACATATTTTGAAGAAAATATTATATCAGCAACTAGAAAGTACATAATACAATGTTTTAAGACCCGCCTTGGTAATTTAGGAATATACAGGTATTCAAAATTTGTATTCTCAGTGAATAGCTAATTTATTGATCCACAACTTCTTCCATTTCTTAATCTGGGGACAATGATTCCTTGGATCTTAAGAAACTTTTTGCTGAAACTAATGGCGCATTTTGTTGTTCTGTTGATGGCTCAGCCTGAAACCCTTTTCAGAAATGTCTTAAGTTTTAGGTCTCCTGCATAATAACATGAAAACCTCAAGAAGGCTTGTTGACACAAACACACCAAATTTCCACAAGCTGTTATTGACTTGCAAGTTCTGATCTCAACTTTGATTACTATTCTGATATATTCTCATCGTGTTTACAGGATAGGAGCAAATGGTTCAAGCCACAAGTGAGTTGTCATCTTATTCTGTGATTTTAAATGACAATTGCATTCACTAATATTTTCTCAGGGTGTGATTTGTCAAGTTAGTTCGCCCTGGCATTTTACTTCTTGGTTCAGTAATGTTTAGATTTAGAATTGGAATTTTACTACTATCTGATGTCTAAATATAAGAGAATAATTGTTTTATCTAATTCCATATCAATAGACTGTTCAATACCTGTTAATTTTTCTTATTTTTGTTTCTTCTCCAGTCTTGGGAGGACAAGATGCAGAGAGCTTCTGAGAAAGGCACCCTTGTATTACTAGAAAACCTTGATCCTTCCTATACAACATCAGAAGTAGAGGTATATTTATGATAGTCATGCTCGTTAAATAATTTTGTTGCTAAAAGTAATTTGCGTTAAAATTTGATTTTTATAATTATTACCATGTGCACACTACAGGATGCTCTTACTTTTTCATATAATTATGTCTACTGTGGGAAGAAAAATCGCAGATCCCTCTTGTTGAAGTTGGCTGTACCTCCTGGACATTTTCCTGAACAGAACCTAAATAAGCTCTCCTGTATTACAAAAATACAAAAGCAGGAGATCTTTCACACTTAAATTAACCTACACCTTACATGTAACAAAGAACAGTTAAGCTCAGGATATTCCAAATTAGAATTTAAAACAGGTAACCTCATTTTGAAAGACAGTGACATTTAATAAATTTTACCCTTTATTATCCTCAAGTCTCATTTGAACCTTTAAACTGTGTTTGGTATAGTAGGAGGGAGAAGAAGAGAAATAATAGCATTAGTTATGAGACAAAAAGGAAGAAAGTAGAGGATGGTATTAATCTCTGATCGTGTTTTGTTGAGTAATGAGGGAAAAATGAAAGGAAAGAGGATAGTATTAACACTTAATCATGTTCAGTGAGAGAGGCAAAAGGAAACTATTTTACTGAATTTCCCACTATTTTGTCCTTTATGAATTAAGGGCAAAATAGGTATTATGAATGTTTTAATTTGTCTTTATAGCTATGCATATTATAAGGAAATAAACATATACAATTTCTTTAAAAAGTCTAGAAAAGAGTAAGGTGTGTGAATTACAGAAAGTCGACGCTGAAAATTTTGGTCAAAGCTTTTCGAGATATGGAGAGATTTGTTTTCTAACTGGTCCCCTTCTTGCTATGAATTGTGGGTGAAAACAACTAGATTACTTGAATTCAGCAGCAAGCTAGATCTATCAAAGTTGTAAGGTTTTTATGTTATATCCTTGTGCTTATTCATCAGGATATAGTTTGGCATGCATTTAACGCAAAGGCCGATGCAAAAATGCTACAGCTCAGCACATTTTCTAGCCCACACTATGGTATAGTTTGTCGCCGTGGCCTTTTCTTTATTAGTTTCTGTTTATATATCAATTATGCTTTTCTAGTGGTGTGTTTTTTTTTTTGTATTTAATTGACTTGCTGTGAGCACCCGTAATTATTCTTTATTCACTAGCAGGAAGAGCTTTTGTTATATTCCAATCAAAAGATAAAGCAGAATTTGCCATTTCTGAGTTAAAGAGTAAATGCCTAATGCTAGCCAATGGAAGGTAATTGTTTCATTTGCAATTTTAGTTATCCTGTTCAAATACCCCCTACCTCTCTTTTCATTATCAAAATTGCTGATGCGTATTGTTTTTTTCCTTTTTGAAGAGCTCACATGAATAAATTAGACAATATCAAAATAAAGATTTATGAAATATCGCCTTTAAACAATCAAAGGTAATTTTGATGGGTTTGCCGGTTCATTTTGCACTCAAAAGGGCCTACTTTGTTCTATCGTCAACTTGATGTTGTGTGTTCCTCCCATATAAGACAAGTTCATAAGTTGAGTTAAGGTTCAAGCATTTTGAAGGATCATATTAATATATGTTGGTTCTTTAGACGGAGATCATTTTTCTGTTTATATTTTTGCGAATCCTTGGATGCTAGAACTATTACAAATAACTCTAATGATATTATTTGTGGGATTTCTCAATTCGGCAGGCCAGTTGTTGCTCGTAGATGGACTCCAAGGGAGTCGGATGAGCCAGCTAAATTTTTTGGCCATTTGACCATTGACAAAGTTAGATTGCAAAAGCAACGTGAAGATATGGTATTTCCTTGCTGCTTATATGTTTATTTTCACTTTCCTGAAATCTTGGTTTATTCCTGCACTGGACTCTTTTTCGCTGAATCTGCTATTGTATTTCTTTTTTATTCTCTTTTAAAAGAGAAAAGCAGTTTCAACATCACACTTTTCACAACCCAATACTATTGAATATGAGATGGCCATAGAATGGCGTGCGCTACAAGAAAAATCTGATACATGGCAGAGGGATTTAAATGAGGTAACCATAAAAATATTTAATCTTGTCAATCATTCGAATTCTTTTGATTTCTTAACTTTCTTTCAAAGAAATATTAATATGTGTGTGTGTGTGTGTATGGTAGCTTTTTATATTGATATCTGAAGGTTGAGTTTAACTCTGAACCCTTCCCATCCCTGCAGCAACAGGCAAAGGAGATAGAAGATGTTAGAAGCCAGCTAAAGACGATTCATTATGAGTAAAGTTGGCATTTGGAGCAAACGCTTCCTTTTGTGATTGCACGTTAAGGCTTGTGAGGAAATTATCCAATTCTTATAGCTTTTCTCTATGTTGATCCTCATGTTTTTCATTTCTATGAAGCTCTACTGTCAAGATGATGTGGCTTTTGTCGTGCAGGAACAGATTTTTGTTTTTGTGAAATACAAACGAGATGCATACAAGGTTCCCCATTTTGGACAGTATACATACGGGGTTCTTTACCCATTCAGAGAAGCATATATATAGTCTAATCCTCATGAATAGTAAAATTTCGACTGTAAATTTGTTCTTTCATGCCGTTTTGTCCATATTGAAACTTTGCAGTTCCATGCAATGGAAAAAATGTACATGTCATGTAGGGGAATTGCAGCCTAGGATTTTTCTTTCCCTTCTTCCCTAATGCATTTTAATCTTTTTGTTTAGGTGGAAACCTTAATCTACAATCGTATCTTCAAAACTTTTTATCATTTTATATGCTGGCAACATCTGCAAATTGACAAGATATTTAGTTTCTATGCAATCATTACCTCATTAACTGGACTCCATGCATGAAGCAGGGTTAAATGCTTAGCAATTCAACGTTTCGATTGAGCAAAAAAAATTTTATCCGGTGACCATCAAAAGAAGTTTAGGTACTAGGGTATGCAACTACATTATGATGTGTTACAGGTAATTAGTACTGTCAACAATTTAACTCCTTTAGTTATGGTCCCTGTCAATTTTGACTGCTTATCAGGGAAATAATGTTTCTATTGTTGAAAACGGGGTATACAAAACAAGAACTTTGAATGAGATTTAGAATAGATTCCGCTAAGAATTTTTTGCGGATCTATAGACCAGCGCGTTACTCTCCGCAAAGAGATGAACGTGGTATATTTACTTTCTCAAATCTGTTTCTAGGTGAATAAAAAATTAGATCCAAAGTGAGGTGTTTGAAAAGCCTAAATGGAAAAAATGTTGAAACCAATTGAAGTTTAAATAAGTCAAGCTTGGGCTTGGATTTGGGCTTGGGATTGGGCCTAATTGTAAAGTCCGGATTATTCCTTTTATTAAATGGAATTTTAGATTGGGCCTATTTTTGGGTTGGGCTTATTTAAATGGGTTTCACAAATGGGTGGGTTTTTTGGGTGGTTGGTTTTTTGAATTAAAAAAAAAACTACTTTTTAGTTTTTTTAAAGGGTTACACCTTTCAAATTAAAAAAACAATTTTTTAGTTTTTCTAAAGGGTTACACCTTTTAAATTAAAAAAATCACTTTTTAGTTTTTTCAAAGGGTTACACATTTTTCCGAACCATCATAACCCATGGTTGCACCCACCCGAAAAGGCACCTTACTACCTATAAATACCCCCCTTTGGATCATTTGCAAATCACACCAAATTCAGAGAATTCTTCACTTCTTTTGAATTTTTTTCTTCTTCCTTCTCTCTTTAGTCTGTGGGTTCGAGCCTTAGTATTTGGGTTCGAGTCTTAGTCAGTCACTCCGAGTCCGAGTTCGAGTCAGAGAGTACTACACCGAGCCGGTTCGCCTATTCCTTTGGTTTGCAGTGCTGCTACCGAAGGAAGACAAGTCGTTGTATCCTGGGAGATAGACGCCACTGAGTCCGTAAGCACCATAGTGGGGCGAATCTGTCTTAAGAACATAGAATCAAATTCTAGCCTCGACTTTTAATCAGGTTCTTTTATTTATAATTTTTTATTTTATTTTATTAAACTATACATTATAAGTAATTATATATATAGATTATTATTTTATAATATTTATATATATATAAGCATTATATTATTTTATATTTACAGATAATATTTAAATAAATAATACTATAGTATATGGTATACTCAGACCATATTTTGGATAACAATCTTAAGACAAATTCATATTGTACTATAGTTTAATTATTTAAATATTGTTGTATTTTATTTCTGTAAATTTGACTGTGATCTGTATATTTAATATCAGACAAATGGCAAGTATGAGTACTACTATGCCTAATGTTCCCGTCAGTCATGGGGAGAAGCCCGAAAAATTCAATGGGGCGGAGTTTAAAAGGTGGCAACAAAAAATGATGTTCTACCTTACAACTCTGAATCTAAGCAAGTATCTAACTGAGACTGGCCCAGTGCTAAATGAGGGTGAGACTGACATTACCAAGCTAGGAGCTGTTGATACATGGAAGCATGGAGACTTCCTATGCAAGAACTACATCCTCAATGGATTGGACAACACTTTATATAATGTGTACAGTCCAATAAATACTGCTAAAGAGCTCTGGGAGTCACTAGACAAAAAGTATAAAATAGAGGATGCTGGCTTGAAGAAGTTCGTGGTTGGACGATTTCTGGACTTCAAAATGATAGACTCCAAGACAGTCATGAGCCAAGTGCAGGAGCTCCAGCTAATCCTACATGAGATACATGCTGAGAAGATGTAATACCCCTAAAATTAAAAAGGATATAATTGAGATTTTACTATTTATTTTAAGTGTTTTATATGTTTAGGTTTAATTGATTAAATTATTTGTTCGTTCTTTATTTGATTTAATTGTTTAGTCTTTAATTAATTTAATTGTCATTTAGGTTGTTTCTGAATTGTTTTGTTAGTTAATTATTTTATGTAATTTAATTGTGGTTTTAATTAATTGGTTAATTGTTTTTTATTTTATTTAATTAAATAGGTTAAATTATTAAGGTTTTGTCTCTTTACTATCACGTTTGAATAAAGCCGCCTTGTTTAATTAAGCCGCCTTAGAGATGTAAGGAATTGTTGATTTCCATCTCTACGATTAAAGTAGAACTAGGGTTAATATCTTTTCCTAAGCCTATAAATAAAATAATAAGGGTCTGCTTAGGGTTACCTTATTCACGAATAGTGAAAATACAGAGAGTGAAACAGAGAGTTTAAGGGAAAAACTGAAGGAGAGGAAGGTAGGGTTTGAGCCAAAGATTGTAAGCCGGACTAAGGAGGAAGCTTGAGGGTTGTTTGAGGGTTAGAACCGGAGCAGAGGAATCCTTGACGGCGATCACGATCGCCGAAAAGTCTAGGAAGAAGACGACGTTGAAAGGTTTCAAACCGAAACCGAAAGGCAAGTTCTTTTCTTCCTCCTTCCCTTTGGCTTGTGTTCTGTGCACCTAGATAGTCTCTAGGGTTTAATTAATCAAGAACTGGAATTTACATGGTTAATATATGCTATATTGATGGCTATTCGTTGTTGAAATTAAATCTGTTACAATTCGTGCAAGTCTGTTTAGTTTTGTTTTCTTAAAGCATGTAAATTCTATTGGAATTTTAGTTACTGTATTTTCTTTCAACAACTGTAAACGAATGATTGGGATGCTACTGGGATTAGATAAGACTCCTAAGTTCAGTAGTGAAGAGGAACAGAGGGGATTGGAATGGAATTGATATTGCAAAATAGTTTCAGTTTTGTTCCTAATGCATGTTTTGTTTCGGTAACAAATTTAGTTTTAATTTGATTTCAACTTTTGTAAACGAATCATAGGAATGTTACTAGGGTCTTATAAGACTCTTAAGATGAGTTTTAGAAATCAACAGAGTGGTAGGAATGGTCCAGAGACAGAGCAAACAGACTGAAATGAAGCAGAAACGGACTGAAGCTCTCAGAGGGGGAGGAATTCAGCTTTCCCATGAGTAGAGCCAGCTCTAGAAAGAGTAGAGCAGGCTCTACCTCAACAAGAGCAGGCTCTAAACTCCTCTGAGCTGGCTCTAGGCTGATTAGAGCCTGCTCTAATTTTCCAAGAGCAGGCTCTACCCAATTTCATGCGTACTGTGACTTTTTAAGCTACTTTTTGGGCACTTGGGGTTTCTAAACAGTTTTAAAACTTTAATGGGGTTTTCAAAACATTATTTTAACATGTAATCAAGTTCTTGAATTGCATAAAATACCCCTTTGTTTTAATAGAATTAAAAGTGCGCTAATTAACAAGTTTGCCTACGGTTAACGGCTGGAAGGAAATAAATTGTCTAATTTTAATTTGACAATTTGGGGTCTTATAACATGATTCTAAATTAAATTTTAGATGTATAAGGAAGTCTTTTAATTAACAAATTGGACTCATAGCATAGTTTATGGCTCGGTGCAAGAACAATAAAACAGTATACAAGTATGCAACCTAGCTTGCTTTTGACGGATAAAAAGAACTGAATTGCTAGAAGTAATTTAGAATTAATTTTAGCAAATTCTTGGACAATATTGTGATTTTAAAATTTTTTAAATTGCACGATAGAGTTGTTGATTTACTAAAACTGATCTATTCATGCTCTGGATGCTAGTTGATAAACTGTTAAACAATACATGGGTTAACTCTTGGATTTAAATTGCTGAAACTTTAAATACGTTTCTGCAATTATTTGAATTTTGATTTTGGATATTAAATTGCTGTACTATTTATCATAGTCTGTAATTTTTACATGGTTTTGGATTTTAATTGCTGGATTAATATATATTCTGTCAATTACATGGATATGGAGGGTTGTATGCACCAGTATGGGACGGTGTCATACTAGGGACGGTTTAGCTCAAAACGCATAAACCTAACCTATTGGATTAAAGGAAAGGATTGTAAAATATTGAATCCTAATTTTGTTTAAGTCAGATCAACTGAGTAAGTTGAGTGACCATTTGGATTTACTGTTGTTTGGAGTTAACTCATATCAACTGAATAAGTTGAGTGGTTAACTGATTATACGTCTTATGTCAGATCAACAAAGAAATTGAATGACATACTCTGGTTTGGACGGATTTTAATTATATGATTATGGTACCGCGAGATGAGCTTGAGTCTCAGACTCGTTAGTTAGGGTGCGTATATGCAGTGGATGCGTAACTGGTTATAGTAGGTTGAGGTGTACCCTGTTAGGTCTAGGTACTCATGCCTACCTTTGGGTACATTTTTGCATGTTGCCTTCTATTCAAGTTGAGACCCCCTACATAGTCCAGTGAATGTCCCTTAGTATGGATATTTATATATGTATGGACTAGATAGCTATTGCCGAGTTATCTAGGGTGTATCTGCGTA